TTGTCAATTCGGTTCTACCCCCTGTAATCATAGCGCCGTTTTATTTTGTATGGGGTTTCAATTCGGGTCTAAGAAGAACCGAATTACAGTTTGTTGTGAGAAGAACCGAATTACAGTTTGTTGTGAGCGCCGTTTTATTTTGTATGGGGTTTCAATTCGGGTCTAAGAAGAACCGAATTACAGTTTGTTGTGAGAAGAACCGAATTACAGTTTGTTGTGAGGAGCTTTTCTTTCCACGAGCCCAGCTTGGACGTCGTTTGTTTATTGCCGAGATGTTTCATGATGAAGTGTGGCTGATAATCACTGCAATGCTTGGTTGCAAATAGTTCCAGTTGGAGTTCTAGTATGAGTGTAGCTCAGCAGGCTGCTCTTTGCGAGGCACGGCTCTTTATAAATGTAGAATCTGATAGTATCGTAAGTGATGACCTTATTATGATGTCATGTAATAAGGACCTATTTTCTTGTATTTAGAGAGATACATTATCATTATTCTTGATGGTACATTCCGATATTTCCGATGCGTCCGTCAGTTCCATCAGAGAATAGCATCACAGCGTTGCTTGATAATGGACTAATTTGGGGCCGAGACTACAGTGGCTCCGCAAAGACATCGACCCACAGTGCTGGTCACTCATCCGAGTCATCCCCAAAATGGAGGCCTTGCACTGTGTGCATTTAGCAGCTACAGTGCGCAAACAGCAAGACTAAAAAAACCGGCACAATGTGGGCGGTGTAGGAAAAGTGGTGTGAGCTGCGTGGAGGGTAACTAGTCTCGGCAGCAGAACGAACACTTGCCATCTGTAGATGGGCAAATCTGGCCGAACTCTCCCTCCTTCATTGACACCAAGCCATCTGCTCAATTGAAATGGCCCGTGCATGCGACTCTTGCTCAATTAGAAAGATAAAATGTGATGGGAAATTGCCCTGCCGAGCTTGTCTTGCCACTTCTTTGCCATGCTCACGGCTGCGAACACGCTTGAAACCCGGCCCGAAAGGACCGCGGAAGCGGACCAAGGAAGCGATTCGCAAGATCCAGAATGCCCCCGACCAAATCCAACAAAGAACAGAGTCTGGGATTCTCGGTGGAGACATTTCTTCAATCATCCCCCCCCCCGATTGAAATCTCTCCCTCCCTTGATCTGGCCAGCTCTCCGCCTAGGCGCAGTGACCACGAGGTGGAGGATCTTTGCGTCACTTATCAAGCCGGCACTAAAATACCAATCACGGTATTGTATCATTACTTGAACATATACCACGAGCAGCTTTACGTTATATGGCCTGTCGTCAACAAGGACGTCGTCTTGGCTCGACTACACAACACCGATGATCAAGTCATCTACACTCTTGCAGCATCGGTTTGCGCCGCCACACTGGCACAGCTCAACATTGTTAATGAAACGGACAGCATGCTGCATCACTTGATGGCTCGCGAAGCCGAAAATATCCGAGCCATGGTTGACTACTCGCGGCACCACTTCATCGATGCCCTTCTGACATCCTTCTTCCTACATGTCTTCTACACTAACACCGGGAAGCTCACTAAATCGACACTTTTGCTTCGAGAAGCTATCGCCTACGCGCACATCTTGGGTCTGCATCAAGATGCATTCTACACTGACTTGGATCCGGATGCGGCCCAGTACTATCTGCGTGTAGCGTGGATACTTTTCATCACCGACAGGTTAAGTGTTTTGGCCCGCGCGATAATATCTGGAACAGGGCTGACGTGATAATAGGGCCCACTCCCTACAGCATGACATTCCCCCAACATTCAAACTCAGCCCGGCACTTCCTGAAATACAATCCAGTCTAAATTTCGGGCTTGGGCCGGCTTTCTACACTTTATGCAAACTCTTCCAGTGCTTTGATAATGCCTGTCCCGCAGAGCTGAGGCCGGGACAACACAGCTCCTTGCAAGCCATCAGCACCGAATTATGCCGCACCCATCCGCTGCCTGTCTGCAAGAATGAGGTTCAGCGGGCCGACATAGTAGTTACTGAGTCGTGGCTCCGCGTCGTCCTGTGGAAATCCGCAATCCCATACATCGATGCCACGACAGATCCAGTTGACCAAGGACTAAGCGTTTCATTCCCCATGTCTGTGGGGCGGGATCTTCTATCCAATTTGACAACATTGTCATCATTCGCCCTTGAGGCCCATGGCCCCGGAATGGTATGACTTGAAAGTTTCATCAACTTGGCAGAGGCTAATGGATTCACAGATGTCCAAGCTGTTTGAAGTTGCGAATACTGTCGCGGATGTGATGATATGTGCTCCAGATTTAACACATGTTGGAAATATGCATGTTGGCTCCAGGGATATCTTGTGGGCACTGAGTAGCGTACTCGAATCGCTAAGAGCGACAGGTAACCCTGCGCTACTCACTGTTCTCAGAGAGAAAGTTGCAGCTTGCGCGCTAGATCAAATCGGTTCTCCTCGAATGCTGAGGATAACGGATGTGTCTGATGAGGCCACACCGGATCAAGAAGATGGAATGTACTGGGATGGGTTGTAACGGTTCTAGTTCGTTCATGCAATGATTAGACCTTCTATGGCAGGCGCGGTCTCGGCCTATAGTCAGGCTGTCCTAAGTGCTCAGAATTCCCCAGGTTGTATTTCAACCTTCTTTCGTTATTCCCCACAGACAAAGCTTCATAAGGCCAGAGAGCCACTCTCTCCTGCGTCAGATCCGTATCCTCATAGTATGACAATAACACCTTGCCCCATCGCAAGTCTGCATGAGCAGGCAGAGTCTAAGAGACCCGAGTTTCTCGGGAACTACAGACAGTGACAGCTTGAGCCTTCCAGTTGCAATTAGTCCGTGAGTAAGCAAAGATATGATCATGCTCCGCATCAATGAGCTCAAAGTCTCCATAGGTGATGACATCTCGCAGGTCGTTGCGAAGCGCCAGACACGAGCGCCAGAGCTTTAATACACTACCAGGATTGGCGACTCGGCTAGCTGCGTTGCAGTATGTGAAATCATCATTGACTTTGATCCATGGAGTCCCGTTCGAGAAGCCTGCGTTGCGGTTTGAATCCCACTAGGAATCATTAGCTACTTCAATTAGCACGGTGTCCGGCATGCTTACCTGGTCAGGTGTTCGGGCATTGTGCCGGGACTTCAGCTTGTATTGCTTTCGGGCGATAGCCAATACTGCTTCGTCCGACCCAGCCATTCGCTCCAGCCTAAGTAACCTGATATTAATGCCTGAAGGCACGGCTGAGCAAGGTGCACTTACTATTTTTAGTGATTCGGCATCTCCAAGTCTCGATATTCGCAAATGTCCTACGTTTATGGTATGTTAGCCATCCCTAGCTCTTGGTCTTGCTACACGAAAACTGTTCCGCTTTGAAAACAAAGGAAGGTCGCAAACATCTTCGCTGAGCGGACACTGTACTCTGGCTTATCCGAGGCCCATCGTAAAATGCTCCTGCCTTGGTCGTGATTCTCAAGGTACAGAGCATTCCAGCCGCGGTTTCTGTACATAAACGTCTGCTACATATTGACAATGGACATCAGTTGCGTCATTATTCATATCCACACTTTGAACTATTAGCCGCTTCCAATGCTAGGTTTGAATGGCTTGTCTTTGCTTACATTTCGAGACTGAAGATCATGTCCAGCTCACCGCGACTTTCTCCGACACTCTTAATAACTTGCTTCGGATCATTCACAGAGTGCATCTCACTGACCGAGAACGCGTCGTATTGCTTGAGGATCTTGCCAATCTCGCGAAGGTATTCGTGAAGCCGCGGACCGCATGCGTAGTGCGTAGCGGCGCCATGTTGATGTTTAGCTCCAGGAGCCGATATATCTGCGTCGGGCAACCCATCTGCCTTGCTAATGAAGTTGATAACATCCATCCTTCACTAATTTAGCCGAAGTCTTGCTCGTCAACGGCGAACCATGCCTAAAACCACCAACCCCCTTGTCCAGCCAGAATCGAAGAAATTCGTAGACAACCTCCCGGACCGGTGGGTGCTCCCAGTTGAGGTCAGGTTGCTCTTTGGCGAAGAGGTACAGGTAATAATTATTTGTCAGAGACAACATCGTATTCCATGCGCTGCATACACCACTATCTCTTGCTAGGTCCCGGCTCGAAAGAGAGATAGAAAGATAGATATCTGTCTCCAAAGCAGGAGACCCAGTTGTTAGGGGGTTGCCGTTAACCTTTCTCGTCAAACATGGGTTTCCTCCATATGTACCAATTGCGATAGGGATTGTCCTGAGAGGACTTGGATTCTTGAAACCATTGATGCTATAATATGCATGAATACTCGAGTGTCGCTATAGAGGGTAGATATCTTCACCTGATCTGAAGTATGATTAACAACGAGATCCATCAAAGACTAGAGCCCTCTTTCATGAAGCCCATCAATGAGTCTCTCCACATCAGCCATGGATCCATATTGGGGGTCAATGGCGCGATAGTTCGTAACATCGTAGCCCATGTCCACCTTGAGAGACTCGTATATAGGACATACATATAGCCAGATAATGTCAATGCCTAACTACTTGAAGTAGTCTAACTTCTATATGACACCGGGAATGTCGCCGATACCATCGCCGTTAGAGTCTATGAATGAAGGATATATAGTAGACAGAGGCTTCTTTCCACCAAGCGTTGGTAACGTGGCCGGAGTGGCTAGCGGAGAGCGCTGCAGCGGGCATGATCTAAATGTTTTGGTGCTACAGGGAATTCGAAAAAGGAAAAATGTCAACTAAGGGCTGCATCAATCGAATTCTATTCGTTGAGGTGTCTAATTCTAAAGGGTGAAGGGAAGAGGCCGCCAGGGGGCCACCGGCCCTTAGGAGTGGGCCTAAAGGGCGGTGTGGTCGAGCAGAGACAGCTGACAAAAAAAAATAGACGAAAAAAACAGGTGTTCTCCGGATCACGAGGACTAGTCTTGAAGGACCAAAAACAAAGCACATTCATCGTTGTCACGTCCTTCTTAAGATTTGACTCCCAACAACAAATAACTGGTTATGGTGCGTTCACATAAGAACCCAAGACTCACCAGGACGCCTGGTGAAAATCTTCCCGAGAATCTTCCCGCGGCATGTCCCCTTCACGAGCCATTGTGGAGAAACTAAACATCCCGAGAATCTTTGCGCCAATGAGCTTTGCTCGTAGTCGCCCCGAGAACCCTTCCGCCAATTAGCTTTGCTAAAAACAACCCCAGCTTCAGGGGTTGTGGGGTTCGTGGTCTTCCAGACAAGCGCAAATCTCTCCCCATAGCGGACCGATTCACCAGTTTCGGGCAAGCCATAACCCCAGATTCTGGAATCTGCTCACTCTTGAGACCCGAGATGCCAGCTATTGAAGTTTGTCGTGGCGTGACCGGTTTGTAGAAGGCGAGTGGCTATGCTTCAGGCGAAGCAAACAGATATAAAGGCTCCCTGTCGTCACAAATTTCACCGCCCGCTCCCAGCAAAGCATCTCGCCTACTTGTTAAACTATCTTGACGTACATCACTTTAAACTACAATTATGGGACACAATTCCAAACTGGGCCACGAATCGGGCAATGAGGCTTACAAAAGTTGCCGAAACAATACCAATAAGAATTGGTTCCACGACCCCGGTTTGAGGAAACTCAACATGGGTATCGCGTTTATGTTCTCGTCGGCAGCCGCAAATGGATATGACGGTAGTCTCATGAATGGACTGCTGACTATCCATCAATGTAGGTTAGAATCTAAAGATGAAGCTATGGCATCTACTAACACGTCGCAGGGAAAGATGACATTGGAGACATCAGCCCCAGCATTCTCGGTCTCATCATCGCCGGTATCAGCTTAGGTGGTCTGCCTACGTTTATTCCGGCAGCATATGTGAGCGATTGGATAGGCCGCCGTCTCACCATTGGCCTAGGCTCATCCATTATGATTGTGGCTTCGTTTATCCAAGCCTTTACCAGTGGACCCTGGGCCTTCCTGGGCACGAAGATCATGCTTGGTATCGGACTCGGTTTTGCACAAACATCAGCCCCGCCACTCACGACTGAAATTGCCCACCCGAGATATCGAGCGGATGTAACAAACCTCTTCCAGGCCATCTGGTACTGGGGCGCCATCCTCTCAGCTGCCATCACTATAGGAACCATACACATGAGTGGCAGCTGGAGCTGGAGACTACCTGTTCTCTTCCAGGCCTTCTTCCCTACTCTGCAACTCATCGGCCTGATGCTTGTCCCAGAGTCTCCTAGGTGGCTGATCTCCAAGGGTCGACATGATGAGGCACATCAAATCCTGGCCAAGTATCACGCCAATGGTGACACCTTAGATGAGCTTGTTAATTTTGAGTTCAGGGAAATCTGCGAAGCCATTGCACAAGAGCGAGAAGTAGCAGAGACGAATGGTATTACGTCCTTCTTCAAGACCAAAGGAAATCGCCATCGGTTGATGATATGTGTCTTGGTTGGATTCATGATTCAGTGGGCAGGGAACGGTGAGTGATCTGTCTACTGCCAGTGCCGACGGGATTTATAACATCGATCTAGGTATCGTTTCTTATTACCTTGCGCCAATTCTCAACAGCGTTGGAGTCACGGACCCAGTGTCACAAGCCGGAATCAACCTGGGACTTCAGGTCTGGAATGCAGTTCTCGCTGCAATGGGTGCCCTGGCCGCCGAGCGATACGGACGGCGAATACTGTGGCTGCTGTCCGCAAGCGGTATGCTGTGTGCCTTCATCGTGGTTACAGCTCTGTCAGGTGTCTTTGCGGAACGAGGCATTAAATCCGCAGGCTTCGCTGTCGTTCCATTCTTGTTCATCTTCTTTGGATTCTACGACATTGCTTTCACACCTTTGTCCATTGCTTACCCCGTCGAGATTCTACCCTTTGAACTGAGGTCCAAGGGATTAAGCATAAACCTGAGTGTGGTGTTCGGAGCCGGGTTCTTCAATCGTCAGTGTCATCCTCTTAGGAATATATTCATGCACCCTAACACGGCACCAGAATACGTCAACCCCATCGCGCTTGATGCTATCCAATGGAAGTTCTACTTCGTTTACATAGGCGCGCTGACTTCCATGCTTCCTACCATCTACTTCCTGTTCCCAGAAACGAAGGGGCGAACGCTAGAAGAGATTGCCGTCATCTTTGATGGTCCAGAAGCCAACTCTACATTATCTCATGGCCTGACTACCGGAGCTTCCCCATCGAGAAAGTCTCTGCATGCCCAAAGCATAGTTGCAAAGACTGAGCATGTTTAGTAGCAGTTTTGCAGAAATGACGCACCAAGCATACAAGCGGCTGAATGGCGAATATATGACATAGGGATATCAAAGCAGCAAATACAAAGCATGTAAGCAGCGGAATCTGATCTCGGCGCATTAATAGAGTGAACTCCCGACTTTGTATTTTGTCATGTGGATGATTAGTGATACTAAGAGAGATTGCTTCGAGGGTAACCCCTGATAAAGCTTTTACCTGGTTTATCCCACACCTGAATCTTTAGGAACCCCTCTTCGCTCTCTAAGAAATTGACGGAGAAGCAGTGTCCTCGCCTGGGCGTCAAGGAACCTCATCCCTATTTGGATCGATTTGTCTCCAGAAAATCTCTTGCTGGGGAGGAATGAATACCGCGTATTTCAGTTCCCACCGAAGAACAGCAACAAAGGCCTTGCCGTCTTCCTCTATTATACTGGGTAATGAAACAATCATCTGTGATCGGGCCAACGTTGGACCGTCGGTTTGCTACCGTCTAACCCTTTGTTCTACATCGACCCGATTTTAGCCGCGTACTTCTTCACAGAGGCTACCATAACATTATGGTGAGTATCTCGCAATATTTGCCAATGCATTACTCTCCGGTAGGTGGTCAATCACACACGAGCCAGGCTCACAATCAGCAGATGTTATGGTACATGAAGGTACACAGAAATTCGTGTGATTCCACGAATCGGACAAGAAGGGGCAGCCGGAACTTCCGGGCGCAAAGGCCAGTCTCCTCCGGGCTTAGGGTGGTGTGTGGCTTGGTTGAAGCGTTGAGTTATGGTTGGGCCTGTTTCAATCTTTAGCTTTTCAGTTGATATTGGCACTCGTCCTATGTTTCTTACCAAGCTAGGTTGCCAGAACACAACAGGCTTGGCAAGTACCGGTACGTGTCCATGCCTTTATTTGGGCCGATGATTGCTAGGGGCAAAGGCCGCTTTCCACTTTTGGGACGTCGTCCGGAAGCTTTCCAGCAGTGCAAGCTGTTATTCAAAATTAGACGGGTTCCATGCAGAATATTTGGCTTAGGTAAAGTTTTACTCCTCTGTTGTCAAACTTCAATAACAAGCCCAGAAAGTTAGAGGTCACGACTAATCCTAATATGGCTGAATATCGGATGTCAACTCGTTCCAGCTTCCGAGCAGACTAAGAGGTTCTTAGGGCGTGTTCCCGGAAGGTGATTTCCCGGCTTCCAGCCATCGTTCCACATTACATGCCACTCGGTTCCGGGGCCCCAGAAATGACTAACAGGCTGGGGCCCCGGACTCTGGGCTCCTATAGGTAGGCAACTTAGTTAATAAAACATACAAGACGACTAAGCTAGTCCAGAGCAAGTGAACATGTCCCTACCCGTATAGAGATGTATTGATTTAGTTAGACTTCTACTCACATTTAAAGACAGTCTCATGCCCATTAATTATCAGTCCATCCAATCCGGCCTGGCCAGTTCTTTTACCATCTATTTGTCGAGTGCACATCCAACATATCGCTGTCTATCGCTATGGCTCTCGGTGTGCTTGCCGATCAAAAACTGGAGCACGTTCCAGGAACCGCTCCTCTGAGTCATAAAGACAATGCCATGTTTGAAGTTCCAGGTTTTGACGAGAGACTTTTAAAGCATGATACAACCGGCAAGATCGTTCTTATACCTCAACCGAGCTCTTCTTGTAACGATCCCTATAATTGGTCCCGGTTCAAAAAAGCGAAGATTGTGATAAGCTTTATTCTAGCTTCTGTCACAGTGGGAGGTAAGATACAATCTACTTAGTCTTGATAATTTACAACTGACAAGTGTACAGTGGTTGCCCCAGTATTAGCACCGGCATACGTGACTCTTGCACACGAGTGGAATGTTACTCTTACAAAATTCGTCCTTGGCACAACCGGTTCATCAGTCGCTGGGTCGGCATTTGCAAGCTTGTTTGTCAATACACTGAGCATCCAATTTGGGAAACGACCCTTATACTTGATGGCTGCTATTGGGCTCATGGTCGGCTCATTCTGGGGTGCTGCCGCACATTCGTTCACATCATATGTTGCCTCCCGTACCTGGGTTGGGATTTGGATGGCTCCACTGGAGGCTCTGATACCAACCACAATTGCAGACGTATGGTAAGTCTGCACCATTGTTACATTCTCAAGTAACATGGCTGACCTTCTCCTAGGTTTGTGCATGAACGAGGATTTTATAATGGGCTGTTCAATTTTGCTTTCATGACAGGGGTCAATTTAGCCACACCTATCAGTATGTGTTCTTCTAGCACAAATGGTGCAGGGAAGTTCTGACTCTCTCTAGGTGGACCTATCATTCAGTCGGCTGGATGGAGAACCGCATTGTGGGGCCATGGAGGGTTTTCGGGATTTGTTGCCATTGTCGTCTTCTTCTTTATGCCCGAGACGGCGTTCCACCGAGACTCAGCACTTGACATTGATGTGCATGCCGTGGTAAGGCCGACGCCCAACCCATCCCTGGAACCTTCCATTAACAAGCGCAGGGGACTGTTGAACCTAAACCCGTGCTCGAACCGAAGGCAGAGGGATCTGTCGAGCAGGCCGAGAGTCCAGCTTCCAATGCCGCTTCTGAGCAGAGCCAAGGCTTTACCGATACGCCAACGCCCTATTGGAGAGAGCTTCTGCCCTGGTCCGGATACTATCACCCTGTTTCTTATCACCATTCTCTATGGCAATGCGCTCGACTACTTGTTTGCCCAACAGTCCTTTGGGCATGTCTTACATTCACGATTGCTGTTTCCTGTCTCGTTCTCGTCAGCCTAACGATCTCTCAAATTTTTGCTGCTCCTCCATACAACTTTTCTATCAGATCTGTTGGGGCAGTGAATGTGTCGTCCTTCGTTGCAACTATGCTGGGTGCAGTACTAGCAGGTCCGCTACTCGATGGCTTGTCAAGATTTATGTCCAAATCCAATAAGGGTATCTTTGGTAAGGAATCTCAATCCATGATATGCCACAGCTGGATTTTATGACTACTAACTTAAGACAGAGCCTGAGTTTCGCCTCCCTGCCATGATTGTGTACATCTGTACTACAGCCACTGGCTTTTTTGCATGGGGTCAAGCACTTTATGCACAAGATCCTTGGCCGATCCCCGTCATCGTGTGTCTTGGTCTTATTTCTATTGGAGTACAAATCTCTATTGCATGCTGCGTCACATATGTGATTGACTGTCACCGGGACAAAGCGCCTGAAGTCATGGCCGTAATGAACCTGGCTCGTAATGCATTTGCTCTTGGAATGAGCTTCTACGTCAACGATTGGCTTGTTGAGCAAGACGTCCGGTACGCTTTCTTTACAATGGGAGGGATTCATATTGGAGTTGCACTGCTTGCTATCCCAATGTAAGTATCTAGCTCCTGCTGCCAGGTGCTTGAGAACATTGATGTAAACAAAGCGGCTAACAAGGTCAAATAGGTACATTTGGGGCAAGCGTGCTCGAAGTTTTGCTTTCCGGCATGGATTGAGTGAGTAATCGATGGTATTTGTTGTGGGAAATGCGTTAGACTTTCGTACCAATCTACTTCTGTAATGCGGTCGAAGCCTGTTCCACTTGACCTTGTAACTAAATAGGAGATAGCGATAATAAAACAGTGATGAATCTATGCCCCATCTAGTAGTCTGCAAGGGCATGAAAGAATGGCATTATAACAGAAATATTATAGAGAAAAGCTATTAATCCCATTTCTAGGCTGCATAGTTGGTGCCATCATCTATGATGTTTTCATCTACACGGTCAAGTGTCTCATTAACACAGGAGGCTTTGGACTGAGGGCTCCTTGGGCTTTAATATTCTACCAATTCTCGTTAGGGAGATACACGGTAGAGCACGAAAGAGTCATTGAGCGTACTCCCTCACAGAGTGTGTTCCCTGTGAATAAATCCAGTAAGCCAAAGCCAACAGACCACGCGAGACTCCCGCCAGCCCACACGAATTTAAGGAGAGTAAAGTTATCTCATATGATAGCCACAGAAGGGATTCTGGCTATGATAGCAATCCTCGCAAGGCATAGAATGCTGCCAGTCATATAGAACAATACAAACAATATGAGCATCGGAATGTTAAGTAAGTAGGATTTTAGAGCCCGATAGTACCTTTCATCAGCGGTCTGACAGCATCTGAGATTTAGAATAAACGCTAAATTCACCGTAAGATCACTTTTGAAGGCATCAAACGAGCGAGTCTTGCATCACAACTTGTCTATGGATATAACACTTTAATATGATCACAAAGAACATTGCTCATAACATCTTCATAATTATGGGGATGTCCCAGTGCTACTCGATACTAAGCCATTAACGTCTTGCTACCAGCTTTCCATCCTTTGAGCTCATCAGCAGGTGGTGTGAGGTGATAAGGTACTCAAACCCCGCCTTCTTTACATCAGCGAACCAAAACAGAGGATTCGAGGTTGGCAGTGCTCGTAGTTGCTCGTTGTTCCGGACCATCTCAGCAAAGTCTTTCACATTCAGCCGGAGGCTGCCGTGGTGCTCGATAATTTCTACGCTCCCTTCATCACTGTCACCGCCGGTAATAGAAGAGACCATGGTAGCCGTGACCTCCTCAACAGGTACCACATCGAGGTAGCCACTGACGGTTCCGAAGTCGGGACGTGTGCCGAGCTTGCGCGTGATGCGAAGTAAGCTGTTTAGAACGGCCATGGAGGCGGCTGTGCCATGAGGCGCCGACTGGCTCGTCACGTCGCCGCCGAATGGCAGAGGCCTGTGCAGAGATACCTGAAGCCCTTGGCATGCGGTCTTGCGTAGGAAGGTCTCGGCAACCCACTTGCTGGCGACGTATCCATCGGACCCGTCGATGGGCGGAGCAGCGCCCTCATACATCTTGACTGCTCCGGAGGTCACGATGTGAAATGGCGCACGGTTGGCAAACGCAAGACGGGCCATATCCTTGACCGATGAGACATTAACAGGGCGTAAGGCCTCGTAGTCGTCAAAAAAGGACCGATTCGCGGCACAGTGGACGACTAGGTCGGCTTTGGCCGCCAGAGCCGCGAAGGACGAAGTCGAGAGGTCCAAGTCCGGTAGAGAAATGTCGGCACACATGAATTTGACCTTAGCGTGGGGAGGAGGGAGGGACAGTGACGCAGCGCCCTCGTCCCGTACCAGGCAGACGATCTCAGCCACCTGCTGGGAGTCAACGAGTCGATGCACCAAGTGGCGTCCCAGGTAGCCTGTGGCGCCGGCCAAGATAACGGTCAGATTGGTCCTCTTCCTCGGCCGGGCGTCCATCCTGGCCTTCCCTAGCTGACGCAGAGGCTCTGGCACAGCGGTCTCAGCCTCCCAGTCTATGACCTGTGTCCCGGCATAGGCTCCGACAATCTTTGCCATGCCACCTAACGTGTTGAAGTTCATTAGGTCAACTAGGGTTGGGCCCGCATTCAGTGTCGCTTTGATAAGCGACTGCAGCTTCACGAGCAGAATTGAAGTGCCACCGACGTCGAAGAAATTAGTCTCGGGCGTGAGGGCCCGGACGGAGTGCGGAATGACCCTCCTCCAGAGTGCTTCCATCGTCTTCTCGAGATCGAGGCTTGCAGTCGAGTTCACAGCCCGACCGGGCAGCGACAAAGCCCGGATCGCCTGGCGATCGAATTTGAGGTTGCCAGTTACAGGGATATGAGCCATGGGCACGATCACTGCCGGCTGCATGTACGGCGGCAGAGGCAAGCGCGATTCAAGATGCTTTAGCAGGGCCGGGCGGTGGCTCTCCGGGAATTCTGGGGCAAACACGACGTGGGCAGCCAGGAACTTGTCTTCGCCCTCGCCCCGCAATGTCACAACGGCATGCGAGAGCGCTCCTTTTGCGGCTTCGAGGAGAACAACCTCCACTTCTTGCACTTCGATACGGAAGCCGCGCACCTTCACCTGGGTGTCCCCGGAAATACGGCCGAGCCAATAGAGCGCACCATCTTCTCGGAGACGACCACGATCCCCGGTGCGGTACCAAGTGCGGCTAAGCTGGGCAGCTGTGGAGCTCAGCGCGGTACCAGCAATGAACAACTCTCCGGTCATGTCCGGCAGATCGAGGTATCCGTTGGTGATGCCAGGGCCGCCTGCACAGATCTCTCCCGCCACGCCCACCGGAAGGGGCTGGAGGCTGTCGTCCAGAACGGCGACCGTGTAGTTGGGCAGAATAAAGCCGGCTGGGACGTGCTCCTCTAGGTCGGGGTCGCTATACTTGACCTCGCCCTTGGTGATGGCGAGCGTGGCTTCGGTTGGACCGTAATTGTTGAACAGCCGCAGTTCCGGCAGCTCCATCGCGAGACGGGCAAATTCGTGAATGAGCCCACGGTGGAGGTGCTCGCCTCCACCAAAGGCAGCGCGCCAGGCCGTGCACCGGGATAGATTACCGCGTGCGTAGCGGAACCACATCTCGTATTCGGAGGGTGTGGCGACCGTATAAGTAACACCATGCTCGATCATCATCTCAGTAATGGACTGCGGATCACCCCTCTTGTCGGCCGGTACGACAACCAAGCAGCCGCCTTCTGCGAGGGCGGCAACTATCTGGTCCAGCGAGACGTCAAAGCTGTAAATGGTCTGTTGAAGAACGATCTTGGCAAGCTCGGGAATGCCGCAGGCTCGCGAATAACCCTCACTCTCTGCTCGTAAGTTAGCGTGGGTCATGAGAATACCCTTGGGTTTGCCTGTTGTGCCACTCGTGAAGAGAATCACCGCAATTGATTCTGGTTTTGCTTTGTTAGGGATAAGCGTCTGTATCGAGGGGGCGTCCGGGAGATCCGAGACCACAATCTCCTTCGTAGTGTCGCCTCCTCCAATCTTCTTGGTCTTGGTTGTTGTGTCATTGTCAGTCAGGAAGACTTCTGGCTTGACGGCTTCTACAATGCTAACGAGACGAGAGACTGAGTTCCGGAGATCCAGAGGGATGTAAATCCCGCCAACTTTCCATACCGCAAGCATGGAGCAAATCCAGTCGACACCGGGTTGTTGAAAGACACCAACTGGGGCTCCTTCTCTCGCTCCCATAGTGACGAGAGCGGAAGCGATAATGTTGATTCGATTTCCCATCTGATTATAGGTGAGCCTATTTCCTGCTCCGTCCACCAGAGCTGACTCCGAGCTGTGGCGCTCGATCATTTGGTCAATGCGATGAGACGTGGTGGCCGGCCAGTCCAGTGTCAACAGCGGTCCTCTACCGATCTGGAGCGCCTCCTCAATGTCATTAGGCGCGTACGCTGGCAATGCGTCGACTTCCAGGTCGATTCCGTGGGCAAATGTCTCGAGCAAGTTTACGTAGGATCTCATGAGCAGGTCGGTGCCAGCCTGTGTGTACATGTTCGCAGTAAGGCGAATGGAAAGCCACGACTCGCCAGTCGGATTGTCGGTTATTCCGAGGGTGAGGTCATAGCCGTTGCGGGCGTTTAACCATGTCTCACCACTGAGCTTGCATCCACCCCAGACGGAGCGCTCTTGGAAAACCTGGCGGTAGTCCACAAAGAGCTGGTAGATGGGTGCGTGAGTGTTCGTGCGGGGGATGCCGAGCTCCTTTAGGATGACATTCCATGGCACGTGGGAGCGCTGGAGAGCACCATAGGCCTTGTCGCGTGCATCCTTGATGAGATTGCTGATCCTCATCTTCTGGACACGCGTAAAGTATAAGGGCAGCAGGTTCAAAAAGAAACCTAAGCTGGCCATGAAATTCTTGTCCAGGCGATTGGCGTCAGCGACACCCAAGAAGAAGTCATCGACTTCTGGAAGAAGGCGGAGCACCAAAGCCTGCAGCGCGGCCAGGTAGACATGAAACATGGTGGCCTTGTTCTCCCTGGCAAGCTTCTTCAGCTTCGATACAAGCGGCGGCTGGAGAGTAGCCTTCGCCTCAAACTGAACGAATCGGTCAAGGACGGGCCGAATGGGCGACTTAGCAAAGGGAAAAGGTGGAATGGCCGGAATATCAGGATTGGTGATGACTTGGCGGAATTCCTGTAGCGTCTTTTTCATGGTGCCCATCTCGTACGACTCTCTCTGCAACTGAGAGAAGGCTCTGTATTGATTCTGCGGTCCGAGAGGTGCCAATGGCTTCCCGGTGTATGCAGCCTCGAGGTCGACAAAGAGGACAGTGAAGCTGTAACCATCCCAAGAAATGTGGTGGCCGCTGACGAGAAGGAAGTGCGTGTGGTCATTGACAGTAATGAGGTGGATCTTAGCAGCTTCCCAGGAACTTAAGTCCCAGATGTGGTCGTGCATCTTCTTGAGCTCTTCGTAGGCATTCGCTTCCGTCTCGACCTTTTTGTGAAACAAACGGATGGGCGACTCAGGCAAGACGCCTTGCATTGGAACACGCTGCTCTCCCTCTCCGGCCCAGAAGTATCGAGTTCTCAGCGCCTCGTGTCGCTGTCCGAGTATCCACACCGCGTTCTCGAGCCGGGGAATATCCATCTTCCCCACGAGCTTAAACATGACTGTCATATTGAAGCTCCTCTTATCCTCAAGGTAGTCGTTCAAGAACCAGAAGCGGGCTTGACCGTATGACATTGGAGCTGATTCTTCCTTGTCAACAAGGTGGCTTAGATCTGGAATTTCCCTCTGGACCTTGGCTTCATCATCTGCAGAGGTGATGTCTGTGATTCCTGGTGGTTGTTTTGTGTGATCAAGGGCTGCTTTATGGCCTGTGGGCTTTGGAAGCATCTCGTCGTTCTGGTTCTCAATGTCATTAAGGGGAACGCCTGGGCCCAGGTACACCAGTGGCTCCGTCATTGGTGTTTGTAGCGGTGTGTCAACCTGTGAAGGGCTGTCATGGAGCGAACCGCAGCTGTCCGATCCAGCTTCATTAGAGCTGGTACCTGTACCCAGTGTCGGCGCAATTGGTGTAGCAGGAGCTACTTTCGGCCCTTTGGGCGCGATCCCAGCTGCCTTTGCATCCTGTCCGCGTCCACCGGCCAAGACGTCCATGTCGACAATCGAAGTGGGCATGGCGTCGATGGCTTCAACTAGGAGACTGGTGATAGAGGCACCACCGAGAATCTTGAGGACTGGAATATCGACTTCGAGCTCCTTCAAGAACCAAGAGCGCACCTCGACAGCCATAAGGGAGTCTATCCCCTGTTCAACCAGAGACACCTTTTCATTGACAGTATCCTCCTGCGAGACCATGAGCGTACGCTTGAGACGTGCCATAAAGGATTCTGATTGAGCAGATTAGTGACAATCCTCTCTCTATGCCACATCCAAGTTTTCTATTGGAATGCTTTTACCTTTGATTATATCGCTCGCCTGTACTTTGGTCTTGGCTTCGGCGAGCTGCACACGCACAGGCAGAGATGAGAGCTTACCGGCCAAGTTCTGGTGCCCCAGGCGTTCCATTATGAAATGGTTGAACTTGATATCGTCGCGGAATTGAGCCTTGAGAAGCGTGTCGGCGTAGAGAGGCTCTATACCAGTGGCAATTTCTGAGTTTTCAGGACAGTCCGGCCGGCCAACACGAATTCCTTCGGCAAACAATTGTTGCAGGTCCTGCTCAGAGATGTTTCGGAAACCAAGCTTCGCGAAGTAGTCCTCAGAGAAGTCCTCGGATCGCTCGACGTAGCCAATACCTATGACGGAGCTGATGGCGATGGCGGATCCCGCCACACCACGCTTCTTGCGCTGCGCAGCCAGAGCGGTCATGAACATGTTGGCGGCAATGTAATTGCTCTGGCCGCTGTTGCCAACTACCCCTGTCAGGGATGAGAAGACTATGAAGAAGTCCAATGGGGTATCATGGAAAAGATCATCGAGTAGCTGTGTGCCAACGACCTTGGGATGGAGGACCTTGGAAAGAGCATCAAAGGACATGCGATCGAATAGAGAGTCTTCCAGGACCATAGCACCTTGCGCGACGCCGGCGATGGGAGGCATGGTCATAGAGATCTCATCGTGGCACGCGAGCAGACTCTCCTTGCTAGTGATGTCCAGAGGCAGAATCCGGACAGTCGCACCGAGGGCGTCGATTGACTGGATGAACTCGGGATGGACCTTGGGTCGCCGACTCGTCAAGACCACATGCCTAGCACCTCGCTCGACCATCCACCGGCATAAAGACTGTCCAACTTGTCCAGACATGCCGACCATAAGGTACGTCCGGTCCTCTCGGAATATGTTTCCGCAATCCACCGCCTGCACATGGGTTGAAACCGCAGAGCTGGAAAACTCAGCAACTGTTAAAGGCGTTTCGAAAAGCGGGATTCCCGAAACATCCTTGAGCTGTACGGTGGGAGGACTTCCAAGTTGGTCCTTACTGCTAAGAGCCTCGCTGGCGGCGTACCATGCGGCGTGGAATGGTTCGACTATTTGACTGGGGGAAGAAAGTGGACGGACCGCCCCTGGCGTACCGAAAAAATGCTTGGCAGTGCATGGAGGCTTCTCAGGAATACACTCGGCGATTAGCTGCCCGACCTGGGTTGAACCCGGGGCCTGTGACAAGTCGATAAACGTAAAACACCCGGCGGGCAAAGCTCTCTGAACCAGTCGCCGTGGGGCCTGAGCAGGAATATAGCGCCAGCCCGCTGCTGCCATCGTTTTACGCATGGTGGTGATCACGACTTGCACTGCTGCTTGGGCAGCATGTCTAAACAAAGCAGACCCGACGAACTCGTCTGGCTCGTGCACCACGAGCGTGCCTCCGCGTGGCACCAACCTGAGAATATTCGACGCTGTCAAGTGAGCTGCAACGGCGACGAGTGCCTTGGCTGGATTGGCTCTGGCGAGCGGCACAGTCCAATCCGCGAGCACTGTTGCTCTGGAGTCCGGCGTGTGTGATAGGGCAAGGACTTGCTCTCCCGAAGCTTCATCTATGCCCACACAGGCCATGAGATACCCAGCCGACCCAGTATGGATTGTTTGCAGAAGCAAGTGTGAAAGTCGGATAGTCTTAGTCAACCCGAGTGCAGGGGGTGGGCAGGGAAGACGCAAGGGTGATGGGTACTGAAGTTCGTAGGAAGTATCGTCGCCGCCCAGCACGATTGGAGTCTCGTATGGGTTGATCTGTTTGGTCACGGGGCGGCGTGCGGAGTTGGCTCGGCCATTAGCCTCGTTGCACGGATAAAGCCGTGGAATGAGGCGAGACCCAGATTCGATATACACTTCTGGTTCGATGGACCAGAGAATCTGGTCTCCAGGGGCGGCCTCCTTCTCCCATTTCCTTAGTGCCTTGAGACGGAGTAGCTCCTCAGCAAGGAGCTGCGGCGTCTTGTCCTCAAGTACCTCGAGGTCGAGGATCTGGAGCAGAACATTCGGGTACTCGAATTTAACGACACGTCCGAGACCAACGGCCATGAAGGAGTGAGGCTTCTCTGCCCTTGCACCCCGCGTAACCCAGAGAACAGTTCCCGCTGCCCGCCAGAGGGCCTTCAGAGAGTCGAGCTTGCCGGGTGTAAGGTTCTTGAACACGGGCTCGTCCAGCTCTGTAATGCAAAGGACGGTGCTTCCGGGCAGAATTATGTGCTCATCAAGGTCCTCAAAAGATGTGACGCGCTCGATATAGTTAAATCTTGGCGCGAGCAAAGTCTCGAGCCGCTCTGCAATGCGGTGGCCCGTGAGTGATTCTCCGCCCACCATGATTAGCCGGGGTGCCTCGGTGGGCGGGAGGGAGCTCATGGACGACAACGGAGACCGGAGCCCGTTGATGCGGTCATCCACCGCCTGCGCGGCGAATACGGCCGAGGCGTGGAGTTTGTTCATCAGAGGCGTGCTTGTTTCGACGCCTCCAAAACCACACCTTCGTAACAGCGAGTCCCACTGGGGTAGGGTCAAGGTCGGTCCCCACGGTCGGCCGCTCTCCGCTCCAACCCACCACCCGGGTAAGGTCCCCATCGGCAGACCAACACGGAGTGTGTCATTGGTAGTGAGTTCCAGGGCTATAAGATAACCACCCGGCTTGAGGAGCTGACGCACACTCGTCATCATATCCTCTAGCTTGCCTGTCGCGTGCAGTACGTTGGAGGCGACCACCAGATCGTACGAACCTTGGACATAGCCTTGAGACTCGGGAGACTTTTCCATGTCGTAGGTTTGGAAAATCATTCGACTGGCATACTCCTGGAACCGTTCTTCGGCCGCCTCGAAGAAAGCGCTGGAGATATCCGTATACGTGTATGAGGAGAAGGCAGATCCGAGAACAGGGAGAAGGTGTCGGGTAGATCCACCCGTTCCAGCACCTAGGGTCCTTGTCAAATTACGCAATAAACCAATACAGAAGGGGTCTGGTTTTGGTGACAACAGCAGAAGCAGAAGCAGATGAGCATACCAATCTCGAACACCTTCATATGCGGGTAACGATGGGCCATCTGAGCCACCATGCGCGCGAACTGGCGGTTAGCAATATCAAGGCCCAAGCCGGCGTCATAGAAGTCGAAAAGGCCGCTTTGGGTCATGTATTCGAGAATGCTCGAACCTGACCGGATAACCTCGGCCACGTGTTCACCCACGGCCTCCAGCATGCGAACATCTGCTCGGTGTCGGCTCCTAGAAGACTTGTCAGATTGACCGCATTTATGAATCATAGAACTAGACCCGCATTGAGGGGGTTTGCGTACTTCTCCAATATCGCATTAATCTGATCATATGTGTCGGTTTCGTAAGAGGCCGGCACGAGCGAGTTCTTGCCGCGCCTCACCATCTCAACATTCCTGGCCGCCCAGGCGAGTAAGTGCTGGTAGTGTGGTAACGCTTTGGCCCTCTCCTCGGGTGTGATGGTGTCGAGCAGACGGCGGAGGTAAAAGTACGATACACGCTCTGCTTTCATGGCATCATCGATATACTCAGACGTGATGCCGTCCTGAGCTGGTGCTGCGAGATCGCCGTTGGGTCGATCAACCTTGTAGTCGAATCGGGAAAACAGAATGGTATCATCATCTGGCCGGGCCGCAGTTAAGGGTATCACCTCTAACTCTTCTATCTGGATAAACGTGTGGGTGCGGTCTTCGGAGAATAGGGTAATGTCGGTGGTACTTCCCCCTCCCCTGGAACCCCGCAGGATACACTCCCACGGGTGCTCTTGCTGCTTTCCGATGCCGTACGCTGTGAAATAGGGATTAATGGTAATGCGTCGAATACCGGCCGGGATGAACAGGCCCCACATCCGCCCGTCTCCGGGACAGCTAAAGGCTGCCGAGGAGGTCTGAAGAGCCGTGTCAAGCATAGCAGGGTGGACCAGGAATTGGTCTTCCCAGTCTGATCCTGACTGGTCGTCGATAATGCCAGTGGCATAGCCGTTCCTACGTTTGATTGCACGCACACCGCGGAACGGGGCGACATATTCGTACTTGAGCTTGGTGAACTGGTCATAGAAGCGCTCCACCTCGATGCTTGACATGTTCCAGTCCTCGGCCTCGATGAACGGGAGACAATCCGGCTCAGGCTCAGCGAGCACCGCCATCACTGAACCTTCAGCATTAAGACCTAGGGACGACCCTGGTATGTCAGGATCGCCAGAACAACACGAGAAGTTGGCCTGAATACTTCCCTTCCCGGAGCGGACAACGTGGAGAGTAAAAAGACACTCGACGCTGGAGTGTTCCGTGTTGAAAGCCATGGCTCGGCCGATATGGAGGTTCTCGATGGTCACCAACGAGACTCGCGACATTCCAGCCAGGGCCATCACAGCCTCTAGGGCCATGGTGACGAAACCAGCAGCAGGAAAGACAATTTGGCCCTGAATCTTGTGACCCTTGAGCCATGAAATCTCGCCAAGCCGCAGGATATTACGCCATTGCGTCTCATGCGCGGTCTCGCGTTCAATTTGGCGCCTGCCAAGGAGTGGGTGAGGCGGACCAGGAGCCGCAACGGTATGGGCACCAGAGACACGGGACATGGTCCAGAATGACTTTGAGTGGTCGAAAGGGTACTTCGGGAGGTCTCGTATCAGGCGACGGCCATCGGAACGTCCTGAAACGGCAGTCTCGAATTGGTCAAAGCAAATTGAGCCAGCTCCTAAGATCGACCACACGAAGCCTAGGCTAGTCGAGAGCTCCAAGATGTCCTCTTTCCCTCTGGAGAGCAAGCTAGAGTAAGGAATGTGGTCTCCCAGCACCTCCTCCAGGGTTTCCGAGCATGGTCCCCTGAGTGCTGGATGCGGTCCCAGCTCCAAGACCAAGTCGAATGGGCCACTGTGCGTCGCGGCAGCCGCCACGGCGGGAGCAAACAGAACTGTGCTGGTCATGTTGTCGACCCAATACTGCGCATTGAGCTCACCGACTGACATGACTTGGCCCTCTTGGACGCTTGAGTACCAAGTTGGTCTCTCTGCACCGGAGGCCTTCTTGCTGAACAAGCCATCCAGGGCGGCCATGGAGGACAGATAAGGAGCCGCGCAAGGAAGCATATGAGCCGAGTGGTAAGCGGTATCGACTTTGAGCTGGCGAGCAAACTTGCCCTCGTCCTTGAAGATCTCCACGGCTTGGGCAACAGCATCTTCGTCGCCAGAAAGTGTGATGCTGGACGCCGCATTGCGAGCCGCCACCTGCAGCCGACCCTCGAAAGTTTCCAGTCCAACAAACTCGCACGCATCTTCAAACGATGTTCCCACTGCCATCATCGCACCCTTGACACCTTTGGGCGAACTCGCGAGCCTAGCGTGGAGTCCGCGGTAGTAGGCTACTCGGATGGCGGCACTGGCCGAAAGCAACCCCGCGGCATAAGCGGCGCCTATTTCGCCAGACGAGTGACCGACAACAGCGTGCAGGCGGATTCCCGCCAGTTGCAGTAGGTCCACAAGGAGAATCTGCACGGCTGTGCACAGGGGCTGCGATAGTGCGGCCTCGGTAACCCTTGACGACACGGCATCCGCCAGCAGCTGTTCACGCAGGGTCCAGCTGGGGCGATCGTCGCGCGGTAGAGATGCCAAGGCGGAGTCGAGCTCATCTAGTCGCTTTGACACAAATGGGGACGACTCGATCAACTTGGCACCCATTCGTGGCCACTGGGCGCCCTGACCAGTAAACACGCCGAGAATACGCGGAGTTGGGATGACAAAGTGCTTCGTGCGAAATTCAGGCGCGTCTTCCTTAGCCAGGAGGATGTCGATTTGCTCGACGGCGTCTCTGACAGTCGAGACCGAGATAGCCGCGCGAAAGGCGAGTGTTGAACGTCTGTTCTGCAGCGTATAAGCCAAGTCACGTAGGGACACTTCAGTATTACCCTGTAGATATTCCGAGTAGGAAGTCAGCAGAGCTCGTAGCGACTTCTCACTAGCCGCGGATATGATCAGTGGAGTGAACAGGGGACCATGCGTGGCAGTGAACGGCGGCGTCTCATAGGCCTCAATGATAGCATGAGCATTCGTCCCGCCAAACCCTGAGTCGGAGTTAACAAACTGAGAAAGGGGATGTTATGAATCCTTCGCTGATGGCTTTTAACCTACCAAAACTATTGATGCTGGCTCGTCGGGGTTGGCCGGGAAGCAGGTCGGGCCACCGCCGCGCCGAGGTGGGAACTTCCAGGCCCTCGTAGAACGGGGCAATGCGTGGATTGAGCTTGTTGAAGTGCATGTTGGGTGGAATGATGCCGTGCTGCAAGGCCAACGAAGAGCTTATCAGACTGGCCAGCCCCGCGCTGCCTTCGGTGTGGCCGATGACGGTTTTGATTGAGTTGACGTAGAGCTTTTCGGCGGTCCAGGCCCCGTCAGGAAAGAAGGCGCGGGAGATCGCTTCAGCCTCCTGAGGGTCGCCAGCCGGAGTGCCTGTGCCGTGGGCGTGGAAGAGCTGTGGCCGGTCCTCGCCCTTGTTCAGGTCGAGCCCAGCTCGTGCATACGTCTCGCGGATGAGCTGAGCTTGCGCAGACGCGCTGGGCATAGTCAGGCCAGGAGTCTTGCCATCTTGGTTGATGCCGGTGGCGCGAATGATACATTCGATATGGTCGCCGTCTTGCAGCGCATCGCTCAGTGACTTCAAGACGACAGCGGCGATACCCTCGCCACGGGCGTAACCGTCCACGTCTTGGTCCCACATACGGCTCCGCCCGGTGGGGGACAGCATATGTAGGTTGCTCTCCGCAACGTACATGGCTATGGATATAGTAACAACAATAATGGTTAGATAGCCCTATTGTCTCAACCCTGGCCTGATGTCTCAAGGATGGATCTTGCAGAACTTACCAGGACTCAGCAGGAGGTTAGCCCCCGCTGCGACTGCGACCCGTGACTCTCCATTACGCAGTGCTTGTGTCGCCAGATGGACTGCTACCAAACTTGACGAGCAAGCTGTGTCAAGGGTAATAGACGGGCCGTGCCAGTCAAAGAAGTAGGAAACACGATTAGACATAATACTGCGACCCATACCGGTGGCGCTATATTGGGGAAGGGTCTCCCAATCTTTATATAGCACTCCCGACCAGTCGTCACCCATAAGCCCAACTATGATAGCCGATGATGACCCACGTAGACCCTCAATAGTCTGCCCGCCGGCGCAGAGCGCGTCGTAGACAGTTTCCATCAGCATTCTTTGTTGAGGGTCGATGGCCTCAGCCTCGGACGGCGGGATATTGAAGAAACCATTGTCGAACTCGGCTGGGTCTTCATCGAGAAAATAAGAAGCTTGAACATTAGTGGTACCATGGTGCTCGGGATCTGTGTGGTAAAACGTCTTGGGGTCGAAACGCCGGCCGGCTTGTACGGTCTTGAGGAGGTCCCGGGGCTCGCGAAGTAGCTCCCAGAGCTTGGAGGGCGTATCAGAGCCACCCGGAAAGCGGCAAGCGCTTCCAATGACGGCAATCGGCTCAGGGGGTGCCATCGAAAGTACACGATTCTTCGTTGAGTTGGTGAACCTAGAGGTAAGAGCGTTTGCGAGTGCTGAAAGAACAAGAAGGCGAAGTCTTAGCTGTGATTCTGTAGTACCAAAGGGTCAATCCTTCCCGCAAGGTTGGAGACAAGGTAGTAAGGTAGTGGCTTTATCAAGTGACCTTGCGAGTGCAGCATCAGTCCCACCCGGCAACGGCGAGTTTCGTCGTGAAACTTATGGACTCATATGGCTAGACGCATAACAAATAAGGCTAGCAATTGCCTTGTTTCCAACCAATCGGAGCTGTCATCCTTGGCCTGGCTAGGGAGATCGATTACAGGCTCCCAGGCTAGGGGTGTATTTCGAAATACCTCCCTATAGCCGAAAAGAACCGAAAAGCTTACCCTATGTGCGTGGGGGTATGGATGCACAGTCCAGTCGGCAAAGGGCCCTCACCGGGATTCGAGGTTCGCTCGTCCCCCATAGGAGAAGCGCGCGAAATACAGATAACTCGTGATGGCCAACACATAATCGATCGGAACATAACAATCCAGCTGGTTGTCGTGGATTAGGGACTGTTTATTATTGTATTCTTGGGCGTAGATCACATCATCCCTGCTAAATATTCTATCCCCATAAGGAAACTACCGTCAACTCAACCATATCTGTATCAAATAGAAGCAGGCAAATGCCTGTGTTCTCCAAAATCAAACCATGCCCGCACCAAAGCTCTCCCGACACGCTGAGGTCGTTTTTCGCACCATTCTACCTATGGATAAAACTACCTGCCGTCCGCGCCCTTTCCAAAATGTATAGACCAGAACCTATCTCCTCTGCGCCGGTGAAATCAAATATTCAAAATAAGAAATTCCGAGTCTGGGCTGGAAGAGCACTCAATCTTTGACAGTTTTATCCGTGGATGGACAGGTTGAAATAAAATGTAGTGTTCGTTCATGACTCCAGATCCATGTTCATGTACTGCGAGCTGTTTGCTCCGGCCCACGACTCGACATCTCCAGTAAAGTTGTGCGCAAATCTTTGCCAGGACGGCATATCGTTTGGCGCGCCCAAGTCAACGCCACCAAAATCAACACCCGGCATTAGGTTCGGGAATCCTAGCTCGCAATCAGCCATTAATTGGTCCTGGCCACCATGTTTGGGATTAGAGCTTGTCTGTGCAGTGTCAATACTCACCTGAAAAGTAGGGACCCGATGTGGGTGCTGGAGAAGGGCCCGAGGGCATGCCTGGAGGCCCGGAGGAGTCGGAACCGACGCCAGAATCGCCAAGCACATAATCAAGAGCGGCAGCAGCCTTCCGGGCTTCTCTGGAGGCACTGCTCTCCCGGAGCCATATAACCTGAGAAGTCCTCAATAGGCGTCTTATACGGTCTATATCCACTGGAGCGTCATTGGTAACCTGGGACGTATCCTCGGGTTGGTCTTTCTGCCCCTTATCTCGAGCTTGAAGATAGAAGCACAGCGTGCTGGTAGCGAGGAGGAAATCCTGTATGAAGGAGAAGCTGACCCTCCAGCGACTTTGGTACAACCGGCCGTCGATTTGGGTCTCCTCGTCAATCAGATGTTGCAGTTCCAGAATATCCATGGCGGCTTTCAGGCAGGTGGATCGCGAGAATGCATGCTCCGGCTCCAGTCGGCTTGTCACCAGGAACCTTTTGTGCAAGACAATCCTCTGTCGCTGAATAGTCACTTCCAGCCATATGCGTTGGATAATGACCTGCGGCGATACGGCGATGCAGGATGCAAGTCCATTCCACTTCAAGCAGGACGGGAGGGCGTCTCGGGCCGCGTTGAGCTGCTCATCGAGGTCCCGAATCTGCGCATATGAGTACGGCCGAGGTTCGGTGGCCATATCCGCCACTTTGCACCCCACGTGGAGGAGCCTCAGCTTTGCTAAAGTATAAAGGATGGGAGTTGCTTCTGTCTCAGGTCGACAAGGTGGCAATTCAGCAGTAAACTCGTCAAAGTCGGAGTCGGCCAGATTTCTAGGCTCATTCGTGTCCGTCTGGCTCTCCCTTATCACTCTTGGGAGCCCTAGCTGCGATGAAATGGTAAAGTCGAGCTGGAGTATCACCGCCCAGACTCGCCTCCGCATCTCCCCAGCAAAGGGCGAGATGTTGGGGAAGTGCTTGGCATCCCAGTGATATCCCGAGTGCATCGCTATCTGAGTTATATTGCCGACCAGAACCCAGATGCCAACCTCGGTATCCTTCGCAAGGAATACTTCCACCATAAAGTAGAGGATCAAGGTCTCTAGAACGTAGGGGCCTCCTTTGGTGTAGTGACCTAGCACGAGGCATTGCATAATCTTCTCGCGGTATAAGTTGATGGTTGTCTGCATCTCCAGGAACTCCGGCTGCTGAGGAGAGCGTCCACCGGTCAATAGTGTGTTGGGAGAGGCGAGAAACAACTGGTGGAACTGCGAAGATAGACATATCATGCTGAACAAAAGGCCAACCCATACGATGGGTGCAGATTGGGGAGCTCCCCAGAACTCCTCATACTGGTGTTCTTGCATTAGTACGGGACGGAATTCTGCAGTCCCTCTCTGAAATATGTGTGAGAGAGAGAAGGAGGAGCCAAGTACAGACCTCTCGAAGGAATTTGCCGCTATGAGGAACGCCTGCTTGTCGTCAGCTCATAATTAAGTCGTGACCCCTTCTTGTCTGGATTGCATTCATGATTGAAGCGGTCAACCAGGCTTTGCAGTTCCTCACCTGGAGCCATGTCCAAGTCATTAAAATATCGCGAAACTAGCCTATCCACAACGGGTCGAGAGGGTAGTGACTCGAGGATGGAAGCTGGAGTGGCATAGAGGGGGCAGCCACCGTAGAGGAGCTGAGGGCTGGGGAAATTGGCGGGAAGCCGGGCTGTATCAGCCGGAATGGAATAGCCCTCGTCATCGTGCTCGAAGTGGTCCCTTAACTCGGCGATGCTGTCGAGAACGGCGGCCCAGTGCGCGCCGCTGACATAGCTAGCGCCCGACTTCCGAATTCGAATGCTGCCGTAGTCAGAGGGGGAGGGAGACACTTGTCGTGGGATCTGCTCAGGCCCGTCATCCGAGAGCTGCTCGGATTCAGCCTTGCGCTCGAACGGATGGGGCGCAGCATCTGATCGAGCAGTGTGATCCGCAGGAGGGGCAGACAGGCTTGGTGTGTCGGGCGGCCAAGCATGCGGGCTCGGAGTTGAGGAGGCCTGCTGCATCAGACTCAAGACCAGACTCTCTAGCTGGTTGATACGATCCTGTACGGGGGCGTTTCTCGGCGGACGGTCTGGCTGCGCCGCCGCCGCCGCGCCGCCGTAAACGCACGATGAACCCAGACCTCTGCTCGCGCAGTTACTGCATGGGTGCAGTCGATCGCATCTTACCCTGCCGCAGGGACGGTCCACATTAGCTCTATAGCTCTATGCCGCAGACGATATGACGATGGCACGCAGCAAAAACATGCGAGTCCGGTGAGTACTGCAGGCGGCCCAATGGGAATTTCCGCCGCCAGGCTTGTGCCGACCGGTTGCATCCATGAGGCAAGGATAGAGCGCCGAATAGAGAGAAGACTACCCCAAGAAGGGTGAATGGAAACTAGTACCCAAGAACACTACTTACTTGCGGCTTCGGCAAGCATTGCAACTAAGTTGAGGCTTATCGCGACGCCTGGAAGACGGCGGACGCGGCCGCTCTGGAGGAGTCATGCCATCGGCGATACTCGGTTCTTGGCCCCGCGCCGCTGTGCCGCGGGGGATTTCGGCGTATGACATGACGTGGGATGGAGCGAAGAGGGTGTGGGAGATGGGGCTGGAGCCGTCGACAGCTGCAGTACCTGCTTTGGGTGGTCTTCTAAAGCTGGTCTTTGCAGCTAGGATGTTCGACGACAGTGTGCCCGAGTTTCGCGTGCCATAATTATAGAAAGAGCCAGAGCTGAAAGGTTTAGGTAGCTAACGCAACGGGGATCGTCGTGCATTTGCATTGCAGGGATGCGACCTTGGCTTCCTTGGCTTGCTTAGCCTGATAAGTGGAGATCTTCGCTTTACCCGCGCCGACTCCATTCCAGACGCAACCTTTGAACTTGCTGATTGCCTGACCATAATCCTGGCACCCTCCGCGAAGAATCGGACGGTCGGACGGTCGGATGGTCGGATGGTCGGATGGTCGGATGGTCGGATGGTCGAATAGTCGTCCAACGTGATGCACTGTTCTCCACTGCTATTGACCATCATCGTTCTTGTCGCGTAAGCATACTCCGTACACAACTGTGCTGGGTGCGGCTCCAGAGGCATCTTTTCGATTTGTCAAAGCGGCTGACAATCTGTCAAGACAATAAAATCCCCTATCTTATAGCCTGAAATAGATTGTTTGTCGATTAGCAACACCCTAAGTGGGCTTCATGTCCCAGCGTATTGACCCGCGTCATGTCGGTATCGTTTCAGTTCCATGGAGGTAGTCTCGGTGCTCCGCGCGGTCTCTCCCCCGAGTTCGGTTCCCGGACGATGCTTTCTCTTGAGCTCCGGCTAGGACGTTCCCCCGCGGTCTCGGGGTAGCGCCTGAGTCAAGACCCAAATCCCTTAAAATCAAGACCAATGATAGCCAGTTGTCTGTCTACCTTCGTGCTCTCTATCGCCGACTTGACTCCAACTCGCCGCTACGTTAAGGTCCCCATAATACCAGCCAACAGAACTTTACACAAAGTCAGCGCAACTCAAATCCCCCGGCAGAACTCCCGAAGTCACCCTCGTACTCATAGGCTTTTCTTTAGCAAGATTCCCCGTTCTTCCAAATGTCTTCAACGACGGAGCGGGAGCAACAACAGAGTGCGGAGCCGCTGGAGCCCCCTCGCGATGATTGGGAGACTGGTACCAAGATTCAGAGTGGCATCAATAGGGAGAAGACAGCACAAACTGCACCGGAAACCAAGGACTCGAACATTGTCGACTGGGACGGTCCCAATGATAGCATCAACCCTCGGAACTGGAGCGCACGCAAAAAGCTGGCACATGTTCTCATGGTCAGCCTTTTCACCCTCTATGCGTAGGCGGCCGTGGTTTTGCTTTCTCATCCTGACAAAGTAAAGTTTGCTAATGAAGTCTGTAGAAACCTGGCCGCGGTCATGTTTGCGCCTGGCGCCGCCGCCCTCTGTGCCGAGTTTGGCATCACCGATACCGTTGTCGCCTCTTTGACTGTCAGCATCTACATACTGGGATTCGCCCTCGGCCCGTTGATTATTGCTTCTTTATCCGAAATATATGGCCGCTTGGTCATTTATCACACCTGCAACGTAGTATATATCGGCTTCACCATCGGATGTGCCTTGAGCACCAACATGGCCATGTTCCTCGTTTTCCGCTTTCTCTGTGGATGCGCCGCGTCATCTCCAATGGCCATTGGAGGGGGCACCATCGCAGACCTCTATGTAGCCGAGGAGCGCGGCAAAGCTATGGCCCTCTTTGGTCTCGGCCCGCTCCTTGGTCCAGTATGTTTGGCCTGGCATTTACTCTTGTTCACACTGGCTTTTGGTACTAACGCTTGTTATGAAGTGTATTGGTCCCGTCATTGGCGGGTTTGTGACCCAGGATCTTAGTTGGCGCTGGACCTTCTGGCTGATCTTGATACTAGTGAGACTGACCTGGGCCTTGCTTTGGCCCTTCCTTATTTCCTGCGTGACTTGGGCTTACATTTGCGACTATTTTAGGCGGTGATTTCCACCACACTTGCGTTTCTTTTCATGCGTGAAACATACAGACCCGTCATTCTCGAGAACAAGGCTGTCCGGCTCCGCAAGGCCACCGGCAACCTCGGACTTCGGGCAGCAACCCATAGCCAGGTTCTCAGCCAAGGCCAGCTTCTGTGTCGCGCCGTCGTACGACCATCGAAGATGTTGCTCTTCTCGCCTATCGTCCTTCTACTCTCCATCTACAGCGCCTTCATGTTCGGCCTCATATACCTGTTATTCACCACCTTTCCCGCGGTGTTTGAGAAGACATATGGATTTAGCATCGGGATCTCTGGGCTCGTTTATCTTGGATTGGGAATCGGCATGATTCTGGGCATCATTCTCTTTGGTATCTTAAGCGACAAACTGCTGAAGCAACCCCGAGGAGGAACCGTTGCACGACCGGAGCTCCGCCTGCTTCTACTGATGTGGATGGCACCTATCATCCCTATCGGCTTCTTCTGGTATGGATGGAGTGCTCAGGAGGTCACCCACTGGATCGTGCCTATCCTAGGTACCTTTGTGATTGGAGCGAGCGCCTTCCTTATGCTTATGCCTGTCCAAATTTATCTCGTGGACTCGTTTGGGTCCGAGGCGGCCGCTTCCGCTTTGGCTGCTAACACAGTTCTCCGTAGCCTATTCGGGGCCCTCTTACCTCTTGCGGGCCCACCAATGTACGCAGACTTGGGGCTCGGCTGGGGAAATAGTCTGCTGGCTTTCATCGGACTTGGGTTTGTTCCCATTCCTTTCCTCTTCTACAAGTATGGAGAGTACTTGAGGACGCGATTTCCGGTGGACGTCTGAGTTAAGCCTCTGGGTTAAACCCAAGGGGCCCTGTGCCCATTCATCGTCTATTTCGTGTGTTGTTTATCTGCACTTAACCTGTAGACCAGCTATGGAATGCTCTTCTTTAATACTGTAATTAGACATCTTAGATCTGACTATCGCTAAAGTAATGCTAAGCTCCCACTTACGAACCCACCTCGGTAACCCCCCCTTGGCACATTGTCAACTCCCCTTCCTTCGTGCGAAGCTTTTGTTGTTGCATCTTATTCATAAGTTAATCCTCATTTCAGATCCTCATTGTGTAGTGGGTCTCACAACTCAAAGGTGATTAGTTCAGCAGAGGGCCGAAAAGCCCCGAATTATAACGAAACCATCGTCACGAGAATCAAGAATACAATGTTCGTAGCGGTAGCACCTTCTAGGCCCAGCATAAAAGAATTGTGGTGTCCAGATATTACACGAATTGGGTAGCCGAGATCCGCCTTTTTCTCTATCACGTTCCTCCCTTCTGGACAGTCCTGCGCCCCTGCTGCGGTCCGAGGAACGAACACAGTACCCATCAAGTCTCCAGCATGGCCAACACCTTTGTATCCTTTCTGGACGCCACGGGAGACTCGATCGTCTCTGGCCCGGTACCAGTAGAATCTTTTGTCCCCAGGTCTGCCAATCTGTTCCCCAAGATGCCTAATGGCATCAATGACGAAGGCTGGGAGCTTTGGGAGTTCGACGGCATCTCGGCAGATGGCGAGACGTCTGTCGCCACCTCATTCTATCGCGATGCACGCAGCCTCGAGGAGGGAGGCTTCCACGTGGATGTGAACGCCATTTGGCCCGACGGGACGAAATGGGGCGGCGAGTTATACTTTGCCCAGTCCGTCATCTCAGCCCTGGGCGGCGATTACCCCCACGATGGACAATTACACGGCGTCTGGAAATCGGGGAAGGAGGGAGGAGCCAGCGCAAGCTTCAGCATCTCGTCTGATTGCTCAAGTGCCATAGTGCACTTCTCCTCGCCCGGTCGTGTGACGGGGACCATCATGATCCGTGCACTGGGCGACAACCTTGTATCGCGCCTGCCGGAGACGGAGGGCGCGGCACTGCTCTCGCCGTCTGTGCATTACTTGTTCCCTATGGGCCCGGCCGCTGCCACGGCTAACCTGAGCTTTGTGATGCAAGACGAGGCGAGCGGCACCAGCGCTAGTGAGCGGCAACTCACCCTGGATGAAGACGAGGCGGCCAGTGGAGCGATGGTGCGCGGCTGGTCTTGCTCGGCATGGCCCCGGTTCATGATAGACGCGTACTACGTCTGCGGGAAGATTGGTCCCTATCACTTGCAGCTGATACGTATTGTCTCGACCGCTGCTGACGGACACAAGTCTCACGTAGCCGCTAGGCTCTACTGCGGCAACGAGCTTGTGTGTGCTGCCAACGAGGCCATGGACATGGCCACAGCCGAAACGCAGGATGCTCCTCAGAGGGATACACTCGTGGTTGACAAGGTTATGGATGGAAAAGGAGTGGCGGGGGCGTTCCTCGACAAGAACACTGGATATTTGATCGAGTTCCGCCAAGGTGGAGGTTGGCGGTCTAGGAAGCGGTGGCATTTCGAGCTTTCGCACAAACGCGCATGGTGGAGCGACTACACGAGCGACCGGGGGACGGGAAAGTCTGGTTTCATCGAGACCATCCGCGGAGGGTCGGATGGTGAGATTGGTTACCAAGGCGTGGGGGGCGGTGGTCAGCTCCAATTGCCAGGATGATCCTACCGGTCCCCAACAGCGACAGAAAAAACAGTTAATCGCCAGTTCATCATGTGAGACGCCAACGAGACTCAATAAATAATACCTGTGAGACCGTATATGCAGATCTAGAGCACTTCCTCGAATCCATGAATACCGTCCCCTTTTGCTCCCCTCGCTTTGGGAAAGATTCGGTATGTTTGACGCGATTATGTTGTACCTCGAGCGACTGTGTGTACTTCGTAGATGAGATCTTGACTTAGGGATACCGGGACCTACCCCTTCTGAGACCGTGAGATATTTGTCCTCCTCCCCAGCAATCCATGAAAAGGCAAAAATGGATTTGGGGGGTCTAGATGTAGATCTCTGGAGCAAGTGGCCCCCTTTGCCCCCGTCCCGAGAGCTAAGCATTTCTGAGTGAGACCTTGATAACCCGGACACCCAGGCACCCAGACACAAACATCTACAAGGTAGCAAGGTAGGTAGTCAACCTCTAAAACTATCGATGCCGACGGCGGGAAGCGGGGTTTGCCACATCCACTAACGCAGCCGCGGACAGCCCTGAGAAGCGGATTGGCACATCACTGGCATCATCACTACGCCTTAGGTTGCTGGAATTTCTCGCCCTATCCGCTGCAGGTTGCGTTTCGACGTCGACACCCTGGCTGATCCTTATCCGGTCGGCGTCCTTCGGCACTACGTACGTTTTATCAAGGGTTACCAGACAGAGACGCCATGGGAAGTCGATGATGCTAATATTGTCAGACAATCTGGACGGCGCGGGTATCAATGCACCGGCAGCCAGCCCGGACCCCTGCCAAGGAAGACTAGCTCCCGTCCACAGCACTAGTCGCGGATCTTCCGAAAGTTCCAAAGTTGGTTTGGCCTGCTTATGGAGTAAGCGCCAACTGTACAAGTACTCCGTCTACAAGTAATCACCAAACTGCTCAGGTAAGCACTTCAGTTGACCTTGAGAAATAATTATTATTGGCTCATGGAAATCAGATCGTATCCTGACACTTGGAGGAATGCTCCCAGTTACATATTGTACGGTTCTCCTGCCATAACCACGCGTGCACTGTTTCTTTCCAGGGGTCCTAGGGACGGATGCAGGGGTTTTGTGAGGGATTTAGCTACCCAAAGACTCAAAGAGGGAACAGGAGACGAAAGAGGTGCAGTTACGGCCGCCAAGTGGCATCATACTCCACCCGTACTCCACCTAGAGTCCCATCCGCTCCCGCAGGAGTTCCTTGATGTCTGCCACCGTCTGCTCCAGCACGTTAAACGATTCTTGGATGCTAGCCACGCTGGAGAGTGCCCCCCACCGCCCCAAGGCGGCGCAGATGTCCTGCTTGGCCAGGGCAGCAGGAACTGCTGTTCGTTCAGTCGTGCTCCCCTCCCACGGCTGGAAGCCACCACCGGCCACATGGATCTGCAGCGGCAAACCCAAGGCCTCTTCGACCTGGCCGAGGGACTGGAGCAGCATGCAGACGGCCATATGTATGCGACTGTGTGGCGCGTCAGTCCCTAACAGCTCACCTAGACATCCCTGCGGGCCCAGTGTCGTGCTCGTGGGAGGGGCCCCGTTGCGCGTCCCTGGGCGCGAGCGGAGGTGGGCTTGGAAGTGACCCAGGACTGTGGTGCACACTTGAGTCAGGGTGATGTAGCAGCTCAGCAAGATCAGGCCCATCGAGGGATCGTTACAGGGACCCGACTCTGAAGTCGTCGCTGCGCAATCACTGCTGACCAGCTCTGACATGGCCGAGCCCGGGTCTGAACTGGAGCCCGAGTACCTAGACCTCCGGCACGCTATTGCAATGTTGGCAAATGCCTGCGATAGGTGTAGAACGCTGCCGATGTGGTAGCCGTCCAGAGTCTCCGGGTCCTCTCCTTGTTGCAGTGGTCTCTGCACCAGGGCCTCGAGTTTCGAGTGCAGGTCTGAGGCCAGACTCAAGAGCATCTCGAGGTTCTTCCCGCGCTCCGACATCCCCAGATCAGGCTCGAATTTGGTTGACGATCCGCTTGAGCTATTATTCTCTCCGCTCGCATCTGAGGCGCTAGGTATCACCTCATAGTTGCCCAGTCTTGCCGGCTCACAACTGCTGTCCTGGCGCAGGACGCCGGTGGTGCTGTCGAACAGTTGTACATCGTTCATGGCGCCATCCCCTTGAAATGTGAATCCAAGGAGTCCCTCGCCCGTGCTGCCAGTCCCTGAAGCTCGATTGAGACCTAGTGCATATTGTGCGGAGACTTGGTCCCAGCTGTCACCAAAACAAAACACCTCAGCTTCTGCCGTGGTCGAGCCATGGGTTGTAGCGATGCCGGCTGCCTCGTCCACGGGGCTCGGCCCTCGGACGTCTGACATACTCGGATGTTGGCTGCTGATTATGTTTGCGCCATGCTTGTCGGAGGCCGTCTCTATCTCGGACCTGGCCCTGTTCCGTTTTGGCTCGGAGCACGGGTCGGTCATAATCCTCCGGGACCTGCTGCGCCGGCTAAAAACGCAGGGCACCATTGCGCGGATACATCTCTGGCAGCGTACCGTTCCATTCGGAGAGTCATTTGAGGCAGAGATGGAGCACTTGAGCTTCTGGAAATGACACCTGTCGCATGAGGTTCGGATGGACAGCAAGGCGTCGGAGGAGTGCCCCGAGGATAGGGCCGCATGATATGACTGGCTCTGCATTGGGAAGTCTGTGCTTTTCTGTGTGTATTGTGCTATGGCGGGAGATGTGTGACCCTTCTACATTACCTCCCTCTGCATATGTACGAAGGAAAGGATCATATATAGGTTGGTAGGGTAGGTAGAGACAGGTTGCAGATATGTTCGTGGATTGCGTGAGCCAGGGAGCGGATGGTAGGCTGGCAGGAATTTCGGTCCTGTCTTCATCACACAATGGTGGCGCTAGGGCCGGTATGCAGTGGCAGATAAGTACAAGTACACTCGATCCTAGCTCAGTCAGCTTCAAGGGCACAGAGACCGGGGATGACCTTCCAGTTCTGGTTTAGGATACGGATTTCATGCAGGCTGTACGTGTTGGTCAGCGCGCTTGCGTGCCGCACTCCCATGTACGACCTACGTAAGGTAGGTAACAGTAGGAACGTTATTCAACCAGAGACCATCTCCGAGCGCCACATTTGCATCTCGTATCACAGTTACCACACTGCCCACACACTATGCCAGTTTTCATATACGCCTAGTTTCCACTCAATACAAAACATGCTAAATGCACAATCTTCGACCACTATTGTTAATGACCTAAGCGTATGTTTGCCTTTAAGTAAGCCTCTCAAGATTTGATACTATGCTCGTCCTCTCGTAATATTAGCGTCCTTTAACCACTAAGATAAAGGGCCTCACCCCTAAGACATAGGTCCTCACGTCAGTAAGATTCAGGGGCTTACACACGTAAGACAGAAGGATGTAGGCTCCTAGACACTGGAGCTCTCACCCCTAAGACACAAGGCCTCATCGATATGGTTTGTGATGGCTTGTGTTGGTTGTGAGACTGAATGAGCCACGAAAAGCCGAAGTTGGAAAAAAAGAAAAAAAGGCGCGGAGAGATAGTGTCTTCCATAACTAGTCCTGTACGGATCACTACATCTACTTTACACCGGGACCATTTCCAATACGCCAAATACGCCACCCGGAGCCTCATGCAGCCCATTGCAGCGTAAGTTGGCGAGGCCTGCCAGCTCGCGGAACATCTGCTCGCTCCGCCGCTTGCCGCCGAAGTTCATGACCGAGACGTCCTGCGCAATGGTAAACTTGGATCTGCTTGGTTGGATAAACTCCTCTATGACAAGGATTCGTGAGTCCGGCAAGCAAGCGTCCCTCACCTGCCGGAGTGCCTGCACGATGCTGTCGTCCGGAAAGTCGCTCAGCACACGTCGGAACTGGTATACAACCGCTCCCCGGACGACCTCCGGGAACGGCTCCAGCATGGTTCCGCCTACCATCTGGACTTCGCGTAAGCCATCGTCCAGATCGCGTTTCGCCCCTTCGATTGTTTTGGGTAGGTCGAAAACAGCGCATTGTTGAGGTGGGATGTATGCATTGCCGATTAGAATGTCACGTAGGGCCAGGCCGCTGCCTCCCCCAACGTCCACAATGGCGAGACGCTCTCCAGGCTGCGGCCCGATGCTCTGTATCCAAGAGAAGTCATAGACGCCTTTCAGGCAGTAGATATCAGCCGAGCGGGCCTGTGCGAGATTAAAGAGTCTGGCAAGCGTGGGCTCGGCGTCAAGAACCTCGTACAAGCTCGAGTCAGGGTGGCCTGTGGCGAGACCTAGCGGGATCATACGGAGATCCTTCGGTTCGGCTAGGCCGTTCTTATCAAAAAATGACGGCCAATATGCCATCGGGCGTAGGAAGAAGTTGAAGACATGCACTAGGAACCCAGCCGCGGGACCGCCTGTCTGAAAGTGCCGGGAGCTTTCAGTGTGCGCAACGCGGCCCGGGGCCGGAGACGTAAGCATCTCTGCGGCCACTAGGTAGGAAGAAAAGCGCTCGAGCAGGCGCTCATCTCCGTGGACCTTGTTGGCCAGCTCTGAGAGAGATATGTCACCCTCCTCCGGAATTAGATCGAAGACCTTGAAGTCGACAAAAGTCCGGAGAATGCCGATTTCGACGAGACTTAGGAAATGCGAGCTTACTCCCTCAAGAGCCTTGCGGATGTCTACACGCCCTGTAGCTTGGGTCGCCATTCTGTTTCGTTGGGGAAGGGAGCGAAAGTGTGATTTTGTCAATGTACTCGTCTATATGCAATTATCGATCAATAGGAGCATAGCGATGTTTAGTAGCACGCGTGTTCTTATATTTATATGCAATCCGTATCGTTCTCGCTTGCGAGCACAGCCTAGCACTGACCCGTTCATTCATTCCCGTCCTTGATAGATTTCCGTTCATTGATCTCCGATCTTCCTCGGGACCTTCAGCTTGCTCCGATTCTCACCCACCATGTCGAGGCCGATGATAAATGCGAACCCTGTACAACACAAGAGACACAGGACAGTCTTGGCACCCACAAGCCTGCTCTGAGCTCACTGTGGGGGCCCTTTCGGACCAAAAAAACGCCGAAATGTTACTTGTACGGTGTGTTTCGGTGAGAACAGTATTCAAGGCCCATTATACGATTGATGATTATTAACCTAAACACCGAGTGTCATACGCTTTATCCTCCTTCAGTCATATGATGGCAGCCGAAGAGCACGTCTCAAGTTTATGAGGAGTGGTTCTTTACGTGAGTAACTTGAGAATCTCAGGTGTATGACCTCAACCTGGAGATTCGAGCCACTTACAAATTGAGAGTCTTCCAAGGATTCCCGCAAATCTCTCCGGAAATCTGCTGATTGTAAAGAGAGTCGCTGCGAGTCGTTCCGGGCTACTTCAGGTCTGCCACACAAACGGGCTAACAGCTGAGAGCTTTTCTCGACTGTGAAGCCGTTCCCAGGTCGCAATGCCGACACCACTGGATGGCAAAAGTGAATGTGTTTGAAGTTTCTCCTCGAATTCCTTAAGGGGAACCACCTAGGATAGCCAGTCGGTGACCAAATCTTCAGGGAATAGGAGCACTGGAAGGATGCCTGTGATCTGGAGCTGGGAAGGGATCTCCACAAGGTTGGTGGACTTAAGTCTGGCTAAACTTTCATTAAGAGACTTGTCCACAAAGGATCGAGCCAGTATCAAGAAACGTTTCCAACAGAAGGCGTCTAAGATATTGTGCTGCTGTGGCCTTCTAACAAACGCCTTATTTGAATAGTAATTCAGCAGAAGGGAAGCGTCTAAGCAGTCTCCATGTCACCTGGCTTCAAAAGCAAAAGTAATCTTTCGAGCTGAAATGGGGTTCCCATTATTGTGGCATCTGGTACACCAGCTTCTTGCCAGAAACCTTCTTTGCCCTCAGCGCGTCCATGCCGACAAGGACTCTATCAAGCCCGCCCGGCTGCACGAATAACGGGTGCTCGCGAATGAGCCCTTGACCGAGTAAGTCCTGAATTGTCTTCCTCCAACACATCCCGAAAGCCAGCATTTCCGGATCTGCAGGACGGGGTCCATGAGGTGGTGGCCAAGCAATCGCTCTGCCCAGCATCACAGGCCCGAGAACCCAGTCGGGATTGATAATCTTCCTCGTCGCCGCTACCGTTTCCGGATATGGATCGAGTGCCGTGTACCTCCCACCAGCACGACCCAGTGCCGCGTAGCATATCCCCATGCTTTCCGCCGTCGTGATGCAGTCGAGAGCGTACTTAAGCTCATTGCGGGTGTGCGCACGGATCGCGGCAGCACAGTTAGGCGCACGGTAGTCAAATACGTTCGCCGCGCCGTAGCTCTTAACAAGCTCGAAGTTGTGCGGCGAGCAAGTCGCCACGGGAACAAACCCTGCCAGCCGCAGGAGCTGGATAGCGGCAGTGCCCGTGGCCGTGGAGCCGCCGTAGACCAGCACCGGTAAGGGTTTCTTGCTGGGCTGTAGTGGTTGCCCGGGGAGCCCGAGGCTCTTGAAGAGCGCCAGCCCGGCGGTCATAAAGCTCGTCCCAATCGCCGCACCACGCTCGAAGCTGACTGCATCTGGGAGCTTGATCAGGCCGGCAGCACGGACTCCAATGTGCTCAGCGAAGGCACCGAGAGCGGGTTCAAGAGGGTCTTGGCCCATTATGGCCGCGCATACCCGGTCCCCCACGTCAATGCCCTGCTGGGCGGCATCTGGCCCTAGTTGTTCCACTACTCCGGCGAAGTCACATCCAGAGATGGCTCCAGGCGTCACGTAGGGGCCCATCATCTTGGCATCGACTGGATTGATCGAGACTGCCTTGGCACGAACGAGAACGAGATCGCCCTTCAACTCTGGCACGGGAGCCCTGTGGGACAACTCCAATGTACCTCCGTCGGTACCAACTATAGCGGTTTGGGTGCGGCTCACACTCCCCATTCTGTTACCAACACAGAAAAGAATAGAATCGAGCAATGAGGGTGGGCTCTCAGTCCAAGCAGCGTAGTGTTAGGCCAGCTCTTCGCCAGAACAGATATGCGTATGAGACATCGAAGAATTAGGGTATCCAGGGTGAACAGGATATCACGACAGGGAGGTAAGTGGTGGTTAAAAGGGCCAAAGCTTGACCCAGCTCAACCATGTTCCCAGGCTGACAAGCCTGGCGAGAGCAAATAAAACTATTCCTAGCTACCATTGACACCTGGTTTTCGGTGAAAGGGCAGTCTAGTGTAAATCAGCCGGTTCTGTATGTGGAAGATCTCGGTCACCAGCACGGCGGAGGCTTTTCTCGGCAGGTATTGTTAGGTCCGAATATGACCGAGAAACGCCGAGGAGTCTCTGATGGCAGTATCGGCTAGCTGTTTATGGATCAAGCCTGGGCCCGTGCAGCTCAAGGCGCCTCGAGGTTCGGGTTTCCCTGCGCGTGGTTATGTCGCCGTGGATAAAGACGGAAGACTGGCCGATGGGTCAAATTTCCAACACTTCAACAGGTCTAGGTTATTTACTGAACAGAGGGAGACCCTCACCTCACCTGTAGGCATGCCTGTCTTTCGTCTGTTCTAAGCGCAGGTCAAATTTATGGCTACGCAACCATAGACTAGTAACTCATACCATATGTGCTCTCTACACTGTGTGTCTTGTCGTACACCAATCTTATAATGTTGTTCCAGCTTCTCACACGACTGCCATGCTGCTCCATCAGAGCCGATTGCCGATAGACTTCACTCCTGTAACGAGCTTGTATGCGCTGCCTCCCACGCTCCCGGCCAAAAGGGGGGGGTTGGTTCTTTGGAGGGATACGCTTGTGGTGGAACGACAAAGAACTAATAGAGTGGTTTCCGGTGAGATCATCCTTACAGTACTGAAAAGCGGGCTGATATGTATGTTTTCCACACAGGACAGAAGGGTACATCTAGACGACCCTTCTCCTTGTAAGTATCAGTCAGTAAAACAGTCGCTACCCTACCACAAAGCATGACAGTAATCGGACATAGCCGCGCATGTTTTCTGCGAATTCTCTACAAGTGGCGCGGCTTATAATAGCCGAGACCGGTGCTAACGGTCTTGAGCTCGTCCCTCGTCTCCATAGTGGCACTCTGTTCAGTGGTGACCCAAGTGTGTGGTCGGTCCAGCTTGGCGGTCAAAGCTCGAGGCTATCGAAATGCCTTCCCCGCCGTCCCCGCCCTCCAAAGAGCTTACTGATTACTGACAGAATTGCTGATACTCTTGATCAAGACCAACTCTTCTCGACATGTAAATGAATTCATTCATGTACAATGAATGGCTATCAAATCGCAAGTCAGTATTTGGGATCTAGAATAGATACGGCAGGACTGAAGGAATAGAATTCTTGGCCAGGGTGCTCTCGTGGACGTCGTTCATAGAATCAGGTCAACGTATTACCTGCATTTCCATCTAGATCCCAAATCTAAAAATGCCTCGGTTCTGTATCTCTCTCCTGGTATCCACGGGCACTTGGCATGTTCCATTGGACTACTCCGTACACGACAAATATTAAATCATGTTATCTAGGTACTTGAACAAGGAGATACTTCATACGAGGTCCGAGCAGCAGCCTCGACGTCCCCACAGCACCTTCTAAGCTACAAGTACTTGTACTAGTCGCTGCATGACCGAGGCGAATAGGAGCCATGGATGACGACAAGGGGATGGATGCTAGGTGGGGAAGAGATCCTTTTTTCTTAGCGCAGCTCCCAAGCAATCCTTGGCATTCAGCTTGCCAGAATTCTCCACACGGTCATGTACGGAGCAGGCGAGGTTGCACCCAGTACAGCTGAAAGCTGAAAAAAGCCTACCTTGGGTTCCAGCCATAGATAATGTCCAGTGGGGCTAAACTGGGGATACGGTGCTCAGTCAATCGTTGATGAAGCATTAGCCGTTGATAAAGGGTTACGGAGCGCTCAACGGCACCTCCCGTGTCGACCGAGTCAACCAAACTATCGGGCCTCCTTTCGAATTGGCTATGTTGACAAGCAATCAAGTGACCAACTTAAACAATCCTTCAAGATCAGTTCGAGTAATCAAGTGTAGTGGCAGGCCACCAACTCTTTTAAGGTCGATAATCATCAAAAAGGTCAACTGTACCAAGGTAGCTAGCCATGAAAGGCCATGAATGATTAGAAGATGATAAGGACGTGAATTAACGGTAGTCTGGATCCCACCAGACCTGCTGTGGAGAGCAAGTCGTTGTCCAAGCGTAATTCTCGCCAAGCGCTATCAGCCAGCCCTTGCCAGAAACATCTCAAATTCTGGCCTTGTTTCAGGGTTGTTCCTGGCTTCCTCTACCACGTGTAAATGAGGTGCCTTTTTCATATGAGTGTCGGCCAAGAGTGAAATGCGGTATTAAAAACCTTCGTATATCTCAGTGTCACGATTTCCAGGGGGTTAGATGCTGATAATTCTTTTCTTGCTTGGGCGACAACAGTCTGTTTCTTTCCTTCACCCAAGGAATTTTCTTTTTCACCATGTCCGTGGACGATCTTCTCCGCCAATACCAGGGACATATTGTCAGTCAGAACTACAATGCCGGCTTCATCGCCCTTAGCTATCTTGTTAGCTTTGTCGGGTCTGCATCGACGCTGGAACTGATAAATCGTCGGACGGGCTCAAAAGGCTTCTTCAACCAGTATGTCTCACCATTGTCCCGAATACCCTTACCCAACCGAGTTTCATACTAACCGGAGGAGCTTACTTCTGGTGGGCTCGGCTATAACGATGGGCGGAATATCCATCTGGTGCATGGTAAGGGACCTCATGCATTCATGATCTAATGTAGACTGACCGCCCCATGGCACTTCATCGGCAATCGAGCCATCGATTTGGCAAACGGAGAACCTGAGCTGCAGGTAGCCTACTCAAGTGGTTTCACTGCGGTCTCCTTTTTCGTCCCGATTGTCGTGCTCCTGGCAGCCTTTATCGCTTTCGGCACGAACAACCATGTTTCCTGGTGGAGAATTACAGTTGGGAGCATCCTTTGCGGCGCCGCTATCTGTGGAATGCACTATCTCGGAAATGCATCCATCAATAACTACAAATGCATCTACCAAGTGGCGTTCATCATCGGCGCCGCCATCATCGCCGTGTTCGCCAGCTTTGTTGCCCTGTCTGCCTTCTTCGTGTTCCGAGGCATATGGGCCAACTCATGGTGGAAGCGGGCTCTCTCCGCTATCGTCCTGGCGGGTGCTGTATCGGGGATGCATTGGTGTGCTGTCGTCGGGACCCGGTATCTGCTTGTCGATATTAAGCCCAAGGACAACGAACCATCGAGGAATGCAACTGTGATTGTAGTGATCTGTCTGGTTAGTACATGCGCTCTGAAGTTCGGGACATGGCTAATCTGTCTGTTTCCAGTCACTTGCTGCCTGTTTTATCATCGCAAGTTCGGCTATCTACCGGGCTCGGAAAATGAGGAAGTCTGCTCTTCGTGCGCAGCAGATTACCTTGGGCACTGCAGTCTTTGATACGCACGGTAGAGTTCTGGTCGACGCTGATGGCCTTATCCCTAGCGCGGTCGTCACAGACTCGTTCTTGGAGAAGGTATGGAAGCTGCTTCAACCTGCCGTAAGCATTATGTCAGACCTAACTTTAGTGTTGCAGAGTAGAAAAGAAGGGTTCAACAATACTCATCCTGTTTTCAATTGGATGTTCCGAGCTTCCAGGAATTGGGGTGGCATTTCAACACTCCTGGTTGGCATGAAGCACCATTTGCTCCAGTTATCATCACCTTCTTCCACAACGGCTGATGAGGGTGGCATCCAATTGATCAACGAACATGGGGAGATGGTTGAAAATTACGACATTATTTTCCGCGAACTTTTCTGCGTTGCTGCTATGAACCTTGCTGAACGGCTGAGGCTGAATATATCCTCCATCGGTGTTCTCTGGGATGAGATACTACCCACTGGAGCGTGTCGCAAGACAGGGGCGCAGAGCAAGAGACAACACCAGAGCCATAGCAGGCCAAGAAGCGAGCATACAACTGGAGAAGACCAGGGAGAGATCGATCTGGCCGAAAAAGGGCTGCACGATGCGCAGCTAGAATATGGACGTGGCTCTCTTATGTTCTTGGTGCATCGGGTGCAGACAAGTCGCGAAGCTGAACGATTAGCATCAGCAGGTTACCGATTCGCCGAGCTTCATCAAGTGAGTAACTTGATCCAAACGAGCATGCAAATCCAGTCAGCCGATTTTGAGTCAGTACTACGAGTACTGGAATTGTACGCCGATCAGGACCGACGACCGTCTGGAGTCCATGTAGGCTTCTTTGCCATTCGCGCCAGGGTCGATTCCCGGGGTTTCGATGTACTAGTTCCGAAAGGGGCTCGACATTTGCTTCCATCTCAGTCCCTCCATCTAGAGGACATCCAACGCTCGCACGTGGAATTCCTGCGGCATTTCGAAGGCATGACGGTGTCAAGCCTCGTCCCGAGACTGTTGGAAGGAAGCGCTGCAGGGTCACCGCCGAAAATGAAAGAGTTTGCGAAACAGATGGGGGAGGCCATCAAAGGTCTGCGGTTAGCGGTAAAGGAGCCGTTGTTCGAACAGGCTGTGCTCTCACCGACAATCTTGCGGCTGCCCAGTCCGGATGGTGATCATGGCCAGATGGAGACAGTCATGATAACTCTGCGGCTCGTGGTTCCGATCCATTCAGTGCTATCGAGCCCCGACTGCGAGCTAATACCGTTGAGCGTCTTGAAGATGCACCAGATCTCAGGGCGCCACCACCAAGAATTTGCGCAGGAGGTGCACCGAGAGTTCGGGCCCTTCGTGAAGACTGTGCCTCCCCGTACGGGTAATAGTGAAAAAGGCCGTTCGTGGCCGGCTACCAAGCTGTTGAGGCTTCATCCGGGGGGGTCTATGATGAACAAGAGGTCGGTGGCAATGGTGACCAGGAAGCAGGCCTCATTAGCACCAACTAAGTCAAGCTCGACTGTCAATCTTTGCCAACCGGACAGCAGCAACCGTTCGCGATCGGTAGATACGGTTGAAATGGTGGATGAGGCTGAAAGATATCGGTCACAGGAGGACTGGAATGTGGTACCGCAATCCTATGGAGGTATCTTGGTGTCCAAGGAAGTAACCATCAACATTCAAAATGGGCAAACAAGCACAGGAGAGAATGAAGGAACTATAAAGAGCCAGAGCATGGTTGTTGTCGAGGACGAGGACCGAGTACAGAAGACGACGTCAAGGTCCAGCAGCATCGAGTTGCAGCCGATGAGCGGTATGGCTGTGAAAGCTCAAACAGGTTTGCAGGTTTCCAAAGTCCATGTGTATAGCGGCTCGGCCACCGACATTCAGACCTATGTCGATATTTTGTTTGCTGACGCCATGGGAAGTCGCTAATAAACCGAAACCGCCATTTTGAAGCAGGGAGGAAAATCCGCTCTCATGCGTTGTATCTCTATATCCCTGTTTCAAAGTCGGTAATATTAGCTATGTATATAAGTATAAGTCTAGTAATCTGGTACTGCGAAATAGAATTAGCACACCATTCAGCGGAGACAGATCGACTCCATCGATCGGAGAGAACAATAGCGCCTGTTTCCAAGACTGCCTCCAGCTTTTCTCTCGCTCAATTTGCCTTCCCGGACAGATCACTCGACTCTACTATTTCTTAGGCATTTAAGATCAAGTATCTGAGTTGAGAAGAATAACAAATCAAGGCTTGTTACCTAGGTATCTGCTATAGGTGTGGAAATGAATCCTAGTAGATCTTTTGCTGTTATCTCCTTCTGTGCCAGATTTTGAATGGCCGAGATAATCTTTTCAGTGGCCTCGGATCCAATTATCGGAACCACTAGGCTCTTGAACTTTTCTTTGACTCTTTCATGACTGAATGGATTCTGTACTTCGCCGAGAGGATGGCAGAGAGACCTAGTCTCCAGTACAGTCTGATGATGCCCGACAAGCTGAATTTGAGCTTCAAGATCACAAACAGAGGAGTCATGAAGAACTTCAATCCGCTCGCAAAGCTGGTGCACTTTCGTGTCTGCCATGAGCTTGGAATCGTACGCTTTCCATCCGAGCTGGGCGCCATACAGCCAGGCGACAGCAATCTGGTAATAGATGCTGAACTGAGCGTCAACAACTGTGATGGGATGGCGCTTGTTGGATGTTGGATTCCCTACGATAGCATAGCATGCCGGAGATAGACGGACGATTAACTTTGCCGGACAATCTTCGTATTTGGCAGCCATGCTAGCAGCGAGTTCGATTGCACTATGAGTCATACGGCAAGCTGGAAATGGCTTGAGTGCTGTCGAGGTGAATAGCCACTCTGTCCGAAGCGCATCTGTAAGACCGTCGACATTGGGCGAAGTGGAATAGGCATTCAAGAATCCCCAACGACCTTCGATGCTCCTTGATGCGCCAAGCACGCCAGCCTCGGCGAGCGCAACACATACAAATGCGTCGTGGGCAGCGAACCCAGGATGCAGGCGCTTGTTCCAGGCGCCGTTCTCCAGGAACTGCATTGACCCTGACGCTCTGGATCCCGCTAGACCAAAGGCATTCTCAATCTGTGTAGCTGGCAACTTGCGTAATTTTGCGATTGCAGCAACAGCACCATACACACCGGCGGTCGAGGTGTTGTGGAAGCCCCTGGAATAGCCACCGGTGCCCATAGCACGGGCAAGGCGAACTGAGACCTCATACCCGACAGCGAGAGCTACGAGCAGATCCTGACCAGTTGAGACCAAAGCTTCAGCTTGCACGAGTGCGGCAGCAATCAGTGCTGCGCCAGGATGGCTTGCACCGGCTGCGAAGGTGTCGTCAAAGTCGAAAGAGTGTGCAAAGGCAGCATTGAGCAGCGCCGCAGTCGGCATAGAAAAGGTTGGGCCTTGAGTATAGACCGTACTTTGCCCGCCTTGGAGATCGAGGGCACGGGTTGCCTTGATAAACGCCTTGCTGGATTCCGCATGCATGGCCGCGCCGGATGCGACTCCAATATGGTCAATAAGTAGCTCCTCGATCTTTTCTATCGCACCGATTGGAATATCTTCTAGTGTTGTATCGTGCACGAAGTCGGAAAACTCTCTCGTGACCGGCCTAGACGTGCTGACAGTGGCGTCGGCAGCCGAAGGGGGTTCTCGTGCTCGATCTGCCATCTCTGGAGGGAGATTCAGTGCACCGGTCATGATCCTCCGAGCAGTGCGGATGAATGAAAGACTTTCGAAGTGCGGGAAAGACCCCTTCATCTCCTGTACCGACACAGCAACTTGCATGATACCCAGAGGGTGGTGGATCTTGAGTGTTTTCTCTTCACAAGCCCCTGAGGGCAACTGCTTGCTGACGACCGATCCAGGGATGCGGCTGCATGCTGCTGTGCAAATAGCCCCAGTGCCGGCCATCGAGTCATGACACCGATTGTCGAGGATGAGGCGCGATAGAACGTGGCCAAGTCCGGTATTGTCCCTGGCAACCGTAACTACCATTGGCAGGAAGGGAGACTCGTTGTCAACTTCTTGCCAGTCCTTGCAGCGATCTAGCAGATGAGCACCCTTTCCTCGTACCTCTTTGAGCACCGCAATAATGGCTGGGTCGTTCATCTGCTCTGCGGTTTCACTCCCAGATAGGCCGAAATCTTGAGCCGCCACAAAGATGATGGGGTTTGCCACGTCGCAGATTGTAATCTCCACCGGCCTTCCAGCTACTTCAATGTTATCTAGAACACAAGATGAGGGTAAGAGTCCCTTGCCATATGCTGCTCCAATTGTCTGATCGCATCCATGCTTGTTAGCTTATGCTTGAGTTGCAAGAGAAAGTCGTCATACTTGACTGTAATCCATTAAAATTGCAGCTCCAGTGCCAGGGACTCCGGCGATTGAGAAATCGCCAGATTCGACGACCTCTCCTGAATCTGCATCCACAGAGACGTGCGCCCTAAGGACTTTGTCTGTTCCTGTATTGTAGATACGGACTAATCGCGTTGGATACCCTTTCGTAATGGTCACCCCCGGTGCGTTTGATTTGACAAGACGCTCTTCGATCGCAAAAGGCCCAACAGCTGCAGATATGTTGCCGCAATTGCCTGTGTATCCAACGGTGTCATCCGTGATACCGACCTGACAAAATGTGTAGTCGACATCGGCATCTGGACGTGCTGAGGTCCTGACCAGAGCAACCTTTGACGTGATTACTCGAGACCCGCCCATCCCATCAACTTGGATTGGGTCGGGAGTGCCCATCAAGCGTTTAATAAAAGTGTCCCGTGCCGGCCCAGGCTCTGGAACATCATCTTCATGAAAGAAAACAGCTTTGCTGCTGCCTCCGCGATAGTAGACTGCAGGAACTGATGGCCGCATGCTGGTGAGTCCAAGCGAACATAGGTAGAGCGATGAAATCTGGTAAAGGCCATGCCAAGGAAGCTGCTTAGATCGGGCTTGAAATGATCTCTCGCTGGAGATGAAAAGCGGCCCTTTTTCTGAGGGTGATGCCTTTGGAATCTAGTGATCATGCGAGTGGGGAACTCGGCCAACTTCGGCGAGGCTAAATGTCGCCACTAGGACGCCACCGCCCAACGCGGAGCGGTCGGCTTCACAGTCGAGAAAAGCTCTCAAGACCATCCACATCTGACATGTTCGAAAGGTCGAGCTCACACGAAGCTCCCATGGAATGCGCTTGGCGACCAGTTGACATCGGAAAAGTCAAAATTTGCTGCCCAGTCAAAGTCTGGAAATGGGCCGTCGGGTAAGGGAGGCATGCTGTCCAGTTCCAACCCCGTGCCCGTTAGGATACTGTATGGCTGGCCCATCTGAGGCCACTGTGTCCCGCTGTTTTGCCCCTGGTCTGGTTCTGTGATGGTACGCACTGTTGTGATTCAGTCAGCCCCTGCGCCAATGGCGGTGGAGCTGAACATACCTGATGGAGGTGTCTCTGGTGTGTCTTCGTGGTAGGGGCTCGGCTGCCCACCGAACTCCTCTCTCCACCACCAAAAGCAGTCGAAAACCACACTCATAGATAGCCTACTCCGAATACGAGTACCCAGGCTGTGCATTGAGCCATTTGCGTGCCGAAAGATGCTCTTACTTGTCCATAGTTGACTCATGAGAGCACAGGCACGGGCGCCGAGATCGTCATTCTGCAAAGAAGCTCGGCGGTTCAGGAGGATGGCGTCAAAATATGCTTTCTCGCTGACCTCCGGGTTGAAATGCATTGCCCAGGTGCTTCTACATATCTTTAGGACTGAGAAAGCTGCCAGTGAGACTGTTCGCTCGATGAACACGGGCAAAACCTGCGACACTTCGCATTTCTGGTCCTCAGTTGTGAGCGTATGGATAAGTGAACACGCCGCGGAGTGAAGTTGAACCAGGCCAGCACGGTTGTCGTCATGTGGCCTTTCAAAAAAGTGGTAGGCCAGCAGGTGCAAACGGTAGCTCTGCGCATAGAGGAGACCTGGGGGACGGCGGTAAGCAGCAGCCACAAGAGACATAGTGAATACCTACTGATCAGTGAATGGCATTGTCCGAGCATCTCTGTCATTTGTGCGTCGAAAACGTTTATGAATGAGGCCAGAGCATGCGGTTGGGAGGAGGCGGGGGCGTCTTGCAGCACCTTCATGATCGCGGCTGTCGCCGATGCCATGATATTGTGCATCTTCCGCCGCAATCTCAGATCCTCGGGAAAGTCAGAGATCAATGCCTCATCATCTGGCCCAAGAACTGTTGAGCAGCCCACCGTCATGGGTGGAAGACCTTCGCGAAGTGCAGTGCTGGATTTTGAGTCAGCGAGAACATTGCATGCACGGCGACCATATGACCTACTCGTGGCTAATAATGAGACAGTGGGCCCAGAGCTGTGACCTAAAGAGCTTGTCTTCATATCCTGAATCGAGTCTGGTCCTCGAAAAGTCTTGTCCTGATCCAACAACGTGTAGGCCAATTTGCATGGCTAAGTGTGTGGCTGCACCACTCAATACGCTCGTGATGTCCTTGTACATGGTATTCAGAGGTACTGGCCAGACGCAAAGTATCAACAAGCCCTGAATGGTTTGGACTGGGTTGGATCGGGAACCCAATGCCTGCAGGGCCATGAAATTGATACGAGGGACAAGTCTCCCGAGTAACGTTGGATCTCGGGAGTAGCGCCGGCTCCCAACGAATACCACCGCCCAGAACAGAAATTGCGACAGGTCAAAACACTTGTCCGGGGACATCGACGGTTTGATGACGGGCATGAGCGGCGAGTATTGTCGAAAGAATCTATGTCCAACTCCCAATCAGCCAGATATACCACTAGAAGCCTATAAGTGTTCCATACATATTGAAGCAATCCTTGATCTTACGACTATCGACCTCATGGCCATCCAATGATCTTGAGGCACAAGGCTCATTGTCTGAGGATGGTGTAGGGAGGTCGCTAGGTGTTCGCGGCGTAGGACCGGGAAACGATAGTGATGTGGACAACGGCATCTCCTCACTCAGAGCCCCGTCGATGCCGGTGGTTGCGGGGACGGCCGGATGTTCGACCGGATGTTGAGCACACTGCCGATTCCCCGGCGTTGATATGATGGTATCTTCGGCGGATTTGGCATGTGGCGATGACGCTTTCAATTTCTCGAGTTCTCGCTGGAGCTGTGCCTTGGTCTTGCGGGCGTTGGAATTGATGCTCTTGACGCAGACCAGGTCAAGTCGACGGCAGCGAGAGCATGCGTCGGGGTACTCAGCATCGCAGCGTATCTGTCAACGCTTGCTCAGCTTCGGTCAGCCGTTCGATCTGCGGGACAGGGTCGAACCTTTTGAAGTCTGCATTCTCTGCACGCGACTCTCCTCTTTCCAGGGGCCATAGTCATGCGGCCAAAGCCTCGAGGATTAAAGATAGAATGGCATTAGTTAAATAGAGATGCGTACTAATAGGTATATCCGTCAAAGATGACGAGTTTACAGCCGGCTCAGGTATGCTAGAATTAAAGTGAAGCAAAAAGTTGGGGAAACTAGACCAGAGCAAGAATAAATGGGCGATTGAGGGCAGGCTATTGGTTCCTCAGTGGGTACTCACAGCCCTGGGTTTGGCAGTCCTGCGGGGACCCTTACTAAGTCTAGTACTTTAGGAGAATGACTACTCCAGCCCCCCCTCCTCGTCTCTTCCGGCCTCCCCCCCACTCAGCGTGGTACCCGACCCATAAAAGTCTGCCCATTAAAATATCACTAAAATTTTTATAATTAGAAGTACTACCCTAGGTTAGCTCTAAAATCTAAATTTAGCCTATCTTTAATCTAATTAATTTAATATCTATCTATCTATCTATTTTGTTTGTTTTTAGTGTATTTATTAGATATAAGCTAAGTTATATTGTTAATATAATATAATTAAAAGAGATATAATAAATATAATACCTATATTCTAGAGACACTATAACAGTACCTAATAATAAGAATATAATTATTATTATAGATTAATTAAATATAATCCTCTAACTATAAAGGCTCTTAAGTCTAATAGCTATCTTTAATATAGGTCTAAGGCCTAGAATTAGTTCTAGACTTTTAAACCTCTTAACTATAGTTAAGATCTAGAATTAGTCCTAGACTTTTTAACCTCTTAACTATAGTTTAACCTATAGCTAGCTAATAAGTTAATTTATCTAGATGTTTATATATATAAGTTTATAAGCCTAGATATATAAGTTATTTAATAATAGATATAACTAAATTATTATAATAAATAGTCTCTTAATAATAAGTAATCTACTTTATAAGCTTTAATATAATAATAATATACTTTAAGGCTATTATTAAGAGATTATCTTAAATATATATAAAATAATCTATCCTTCTACTACTCTCTTAAGTCTATCTTTTATACTTATCTATATTAAGACTCTTAATTATATTCTCTATTAAATAATTTAATATATATATCTATATCTATATATACTTATATAATATTAATATCTATCTATCTATCTATCTATTTTGTTTATTTTTAATATATCTATTAGGTATAAGCTAAGTTATACTATTAATATAACATAGTTAAAAGAGATATAATAAATATAATACCTATATTCTAGAGATATTATAATAGTATCTAATGATAAGGACATAATTATTATTATGAATTGATTAAGTATAGTCCCCTAACTATAAAGGCCCTTAAGCCTAACAGCTACTAACCGTCTTTAATGTAGGTCTAAGGCCTGGAATCAGTCCTGGACTTTTAAACCTCTTGACTATGATTAAGGCCTAGAATTAGTCCCAGACTTTTTGACCTCTTAACTATAGTCTAGCCTATAGCCAGCCGATAAGTCAACTTATCTAGACATCTATATATATAAGTTTACAAGCCTAGATGTGTAAGCTATTTAATAATAATAGATATAATCAAATTGTTATAATAAATAATCTCTTGATAATAAGCAATCTATCACAAAACCAACCACAGTTACTGCAGGAGCACCTCCTAAGGCGGTCAAAGAAGATAAGATAGGCAGAAAACGTACAGACCACCAGATCGCTTAGGACTCTAGTGATCCATCACCATAGATCATAGCGATCCTCTATAAGAGATCGCAATAGATCACCATAAGCCATCGCGATCTATTATCTATATATACAGACATATGACTACCCTTAGATACCTACCCTAGATAGCTCTTCAGTATTTAAAGTATCTCATTCAATAAATTACCTTTAAGTAAAGCTATCTTAGCTATAATCAACTACTAGTGCTTAGCAGCACCTATCACCTACTGCTTATATAAACCTATACACCTCTAGTCCTATAAAGTAGTCTTACCTCTTAGAGATTAGGGATTATTACATATTGAATACTCTTGTTTAGTAAGTAGACTACACTCTAAGTAATATTTACAGAAACCATATCAGAAAAAGCATCTTCTACTAACACTAGGCCTACTTTCACTATAGAGCAGGCATATAATGAAATCCTTCAACTTAGGAACTAAGTCGACAGCCTCTAAGAAAGCTAAGCTATAAAAGAAGGACTAAAGTATGAAAAACCCAGAAAGTTCAACAGAAAGAAAGAGGACCTCTAAGGATAGCTCACCTAAATAAAGGCCTACCTCAAGCGCTATTTAGGTGACTATAAGCTTATAGTAGATAAAGTGCTCTTTATAGTAAATTGCCTGAAAGAAGAAGCACTCACCTAGTTTAAACCAACCCTATAAGACTATCTAGAGTATAACAGCAAGGATTATGACGTAAAAACCATCATCATATTCAATAGAGGGTTTAGAGAGTTTACGGCCAGACTGAAAGAAGTATTTAGAGACCCTGATAAAGAACAAGCTGTATGTGACGATCCTTGATCCCAAGAGGCAAGACTACTTCGTAGGATCGGAAGCGTGTGGGTTTATGTAAGCAGTAAGTGATGGGCGCTGCTGAGCAATGGTGGTTGACTTGATCGTAGCTAAGA